CTCTTTCTTGCATTCGATCAGTGCCACCTGATCAAAAACGTGCGATCACAGTTTTTGTCCCGCGACATCGGAAAAGGAGGCGAAATATTATCGAACCATTTGAAGAGCCTCTACAAAGTGCAGCAAGGCAGCCTTGTAAAGCCAGTACGATTTTTGACGAGAAAGCACGTATTCCCTACGAATTCGGAAAAAATGAACGCGCAGAGAGCAGTGCAAGTGTTTTCTCCTCCTGTGACAGCTGCACTGAAGCTCTTGCAAGAACAGGCGGGCCACACGTGCGACGCAAGCTTCGCGGGTGTCGGAGCGACGGTGCAATTTATGGACACCGTGCACCGCTGGTAGGATCCTGCTCATGGACGTGAGTAACTGTACCCAGCACATACATCAGAAGAATGCAGACTGCAAGCAGTTTGAATCTGCAGGCGATGAACGGCTAATCTGGCTGGAGACAAGCTTCGTCGACTACCTGGCCGATCTCAAAAATCAAAGCCTGGCAAAGAACTTCCTAACCAAAGAGACTTACGAGGGTCTTGTGATCACAACTCGTTCGAACGTTGAGCGCATTAGATATCTTCTTGAAGAGATGTCTTTTCACTTCGTTTTGACGAGGAAAATGTCATCAGACCCTCTCGAGTCGTTCTTTGGCTGGCTGAGGAAACCAGCAGGATCAAATGATCAAACGGACGTCCGTGCCGTGCTCACAGGCACTGAGAAAACCCTCAAGACCGGTGTCGCATCGGCGTCGAGTACAAGCAACATAATGGCAGCAGAAGAGAGTAATTGCTTGTCAACGCTGCCGCAACAGAAAAACACAAGTGTGCAAACCAGCGAGGAATTCCCTGCAGATGCACGTAGAGAGCTCATAGAGCGGCTAAACCGAGATAAGCCTCTACTTCCCACTCCAGATGTGGCCGCATTGTCTATGGTCGGTGGCTACCTCGCAAGAGCCGTACGAGAAAACATCGAATGTGAGGAGTGCTTCGCGCTCTTAACAAAGCCAAGCGCCTCGACCCCATCGGACTCGCTCATTAAACACCAAGACCGCGGTGGACTTCTTTATCCGTCCGCACAACTTCTAGATGTTCTCTACGCACTACAGAAGTTCGTCGAAGTTCTAGCGAGAAGAAGGCGTATGCATCACCCTCTAAAGGAGGCTGTGAACAATGCTGCTGAAATCCTCCGCGAGCACAAAGCTTTGATGTGTTCGAAGCCAGGGCACCAGGAGAATTTGCTCAAACTGTTAATGACAAAGTTCTTCCACCCAATATCCACCAACTTCGCTCTGAAAGCGACAGGAAAACATGACGTCGCCAAATTGTTCGAAATAAAGCCGCTTTCACGAAAGACCCTGAAACTGTGAGCTTGATCTCACAGCTGGGGGCCTAAGTGAAAGATCCAGTTTTCACAATATGTCTCGTGTTGCTTGCTTTCAATGTACTGTGGGGATGGAAAGAAACGCGAAAAGTGCGGCATATTCATTCTCTGCTGTTTCGAATTTCTTTTCGGGTTGTTGTATCCTGCATGATAGTTAAAAGCCACTAGAATAAAACTATTCTAGCATATTTTATTTTTATTCCCACCAGGGTCACAGCGGGATGCAAAGATCGCGCCGCATTGTTCGCGTTTTTTTTTTCTATCATCCCTGTGCATCATGAAGAAACACCAATGCAACCTGCACATTTATTTTACAGCTCCATCTCTAATACGAACGCAAGTTTCTCTCCAAAAGCACGCGCACAACAGCGTAGTCGCATCGTCTGCTCTGGGAGTGGGTATGGGGTGACAGCGCCGTGTGGTGGCGAGCGCATGAAATATAAGGTACGGGCGGGGTGCCTTGCTCCGCTCCCCACTCGGCGGGCATGAAAAAATATAGGAGGCTATGGTCTGGGCCTCCAGGGCAGAGGTCATGCTTTGGTGCTTTGTCTGTAGACAACATGTGCTGCAGAGTTGCAAGCACAGCTTTCTGCATGCCTGGAACGTTGTTCCTGTGACCTCTCAAGGTATAGCCATAGTAAGAGGTGATCCTCTTGATTTTGTGTTGCGTGAGCCTGCCCTTACCGCCTAGTGAGCCACCTTGAGCTCTTTTTTTCCACAAGTGTACGTAAGGCAGCTCCCATACGCTTGTGCACATGATTGATGCAGTCTTTTTTGGCTACCTTGACATGGCCGTACACTTCATTTTCGGTAAAAGAAGAAACTGTGTTGCTGTCATCGTCTGACAGCATGGTCGTATACCGAAGCTTGTGCTTTTCAAGTGACTGCCAAAGCAAGCGTAGCGCCGCCTCCACTTCCATCTGGCCAGCGTTGCAGTCAACGTATTTCTGGCACAGTGGGGCGTGCTGGATGAGCCAGGCAGAACGTCCTGCCTCTCCTTCCTTAGGTCCTTTGGTGCAAGCGAGGCAAAAGTTCGACAGTACAATTTGGTCTATATCGAGACCACTGTACATTTCAATAATGAAGCCAACGCATATATGTGACCTATGTCCGCGAGTGAGCCAAGTGCCATCATATATAACGTCGACGTTGCCAGGCGCGTTGCCGAACTCTGCATAGAGCTCTTTGACGCGAGCAACGCTCACTACTTCGCACTCGGCAGCTGTCGCACTGCAGGCTTCCTTTATTAACATCATGTGGCTTTGATAGGTCTTGTGGAGGAGCCCTCGATGCGAAATGTTCATCACGGCGTAAAAGTCCGACAGAGCCGTTGCCCCCTTGCCGATGCTATTGATGGCCTTCATGGCACGCAAATTCACTTCGAATGGCCTTAATTTGGTGTCGGTCTCGTCGGCTACACGTGGGGACGAAAACCGTTCTTCGCGAAAGTCGCAACTGCTGCACGTGACAAGGAGCTTTGAACACAGCCCGTACTCTTTCTTGCCCTTCGAAAACGTCACGCTTTTTTCACCGCACTCGGGGCAGACGACAAGCCGAAATAACAAGTCTATCACCGCCAGGTCAACAATGCCAAATTCTGCCCCGTTTTCTTTTTCACCATCCGCCAGATCAAGATCTAGCAGCTTGAACTTGCGTTCCGTTGCACACTGCGATGTGAGGGATGCCTTCAAGCTCGCCACATTCCTGGCACACTGAGCAGACTCGTCCACAGAATAAAATGCCGTGTCAATGCGGTCTTGATGTTGCTGGAAGTGCCAGATGATCCGATGATGTAACAATCTGTGGATCTGCTGCAGATGAGCCCTGGGGAGTGCACCGTTTCGGACACAACAGGTGCCTGCGGCTGCGCGCCGTTGTCGGAATTCACCACTTTGGCCGCACGTGGTCGGCTTTCTTCTGCGGCGCGTTCCACGGATGCCTTCGTTTCTTGCCGTACACTTGGTGCGTCTTCTTTAGACGAGCATCTCCAGTCATGCCGGCAAAAGACTGTAAGCCGGTGCGTCGGTCGCGTAGCACGAGCAAAAAGCAGGCGAACAACGCGCGCGCGGAATGGGAGCGGGCGGCCCACAAGTAAAATACAGAAAAAAAAGCGCGAGCAACCTTGGCCGCATCAACCAATGGGAAGCGAGAGACGGGGTGCTCGCCTGGCGTGCGCGCGCTCTAGCCATTTAGCGGTTGGGACGGGAGTTTCTGAAAAGGGGCGAGGGAAGCCCTGCCAGATGGCATTTTGAAGGGCGGCAAAATGCGCACAAAGAAATCAGCTTCAAAACAAGCTCAAGATGGTGGCAATTGGCCGGTTCCTTAGCCGGCGGCACGCGGGAAGTTTGAAAAAATTTTACCTTTTGAGGGGCATTTTGCGACTCCCTTGACGACTTTATAACCAATTTTAACCCATTTACCGATCGAATTTCCCGTTCACAATTTGAGAACACGTGCGTATAGGTATAAAAAAAGTCATGCCGGCAGTCTTTTGCCGGCATGACTGGAGATGCTCGTCTAAAGAAGACGCACCAAGTGTACGGCAAGAAACGAAGGCATCCGTGGAACGCGCCGCAGAAGAAAGCCGACCACGTGCGGCCAAAGTGGTGAATTCCGACAACGGCGCGCAGCCGCAGGCACCTGTTGTGTCCGAAACGGTGCACTCCCCAGGGCTCATCTGCAGCAGATCCACAGATTGTTACATCATCGGATCATCTGGCACTTCCAGCAACATCAAGACCGCATTGACACGGCATTTTATTCTGTGGACGAGTCTGCTCAGTGTGCCAGGAATGTGGCGAGCTTGAAGGCATCCCTCACATCGCAGTGTGCAACGGAACGCAAGTTCAAGCTGCTAGATCTTGATCTGGCGGATGGTGAAAAAGAAAACGGGGCAGAATTTGGCATTGTTGACCTGGCGGTGATAGACTTGTTATTTCGGCTTGTCGTCTGCCCCGAGTGCGGTGAAAAAAGCGTGACGTTTTCGAAGGGCAAGAAAGAGTACGGGCTGTGTTCAAAGCTCCTTGTCACGTGCAGCAGTTGCGACTTTCGCGAAGAACGGTTTTCGTCCCCACGTGTAGCCGACGAGACCGACACCAAATTAAGGCCATTCGAAGTGAATTTGCGTGCCATGAAGGCCATCAATAGCATCGGCAAGGGGGCAACGGCTCTGTCGGACTTTTACGCCGTGACTTCTAAAAATAGGATTTTCAAAAAAGCAACTTTTTGGCCATTTTTCGCCATTCTAGGACCTGCATCCCCCCCTTAACGAGGTTTTACTGTATTTTACGAGCGAGTCTGAGTGAACTCCACATTTTTTTGACGACCGACCTTTTGTCCTACCTACTCAATCTCAGCATAATTATCACCCTTATGTCGACTCACGTGTACTCAGAGCCGTGAGCCCGAGTCTGAGCAAAATCTTAGCGTGCGAGTCTGAGCGGGCCCTGGGGGCAAGGTATGTTTCATGAGTGAGTCTGAGTGAGCTCTGAATTGTTTGCCCACCTATGATTGCACGTTTTGCCAACCTATGATCATGACCTCTTTGGCATGCATAGGGGAGCACTGTTCTAAAATCTGAACTGTTCTTGTCCCGCGAGTACGAAGCACTTGACAGGCAAACACACCTGAATGGGAGGCAGAGCAGCTGTGGTGTTCTTCTTGTAGATGTCGTTGATCTTCTTCTGGAGCACCACCGCCTGCTGTGTCAGGTGGCGCAGGCACTCTGAGCTCTCGCGAGTCTTGTCGTGCTCCTCACCGAGCTGCACAAATTGACACAGGCAATGATAGGCGAGATCGCAGGGTCTCTGAACCTGAATACTGTTACATCTTTCAACAACAAACTGATTTCATGAGGACCACCTTATATTTCAGTAACCCGACACCACTCAAAAGATGGTGTTTGGTGAAAACAATTTTTAAAAATTATTTGCCCAAGTTACCACACCATTGCCATGACACTTCTGCAGGTGTCCACTTACAAATTCATCACACAGGCTATCAGCTAGGCAGACAACACCACCAAATTCAGCATGGTCATATGAGGTCACCATGCTGAACTGTTACGGTATATCCAGACGAGCCAACCTGCAGATGGCCGAGTCATGTGACAGTAAGAACGCAAGCAGCCCGTCTGATTGCGCCACACGCATGCACAGTCCGAAACACGAGGGATAAAGCCCATGCCGAAGCCAGTTCCAAGCCGAAACGATGCCACTCACGTGCCTTCAAAAAGAAACTGCACGTTCAAAAAATTGCCAGCGTACTCGGCAGAAAAAAAAAAAAAAAGAGAGAGAGAGAAGAAGAAAAAGACAACCTGTCTTCTCGACACCTCACCCCTCCGAGCACGAGCCCCTTAGCTAAGCATGGAGACGGGCGGTTTGTGACAATGTTTTCAGCCTTCTTGGCCTTCCTGTGCCCACAGCCAAAGCTACGAATTCACCCCAACAGAAGTGGAGGGTCACTTGGCGGCGACACCAAGGGCCAAAGGATCAGTTTGTCCTGTCGCCTGGATCCACGATTCGTGTCATTGCCTTGATCTGAGACCCACATCACGCGTCGACGGCAGTGCTGACCTCATAACAAAATGCTCTCAGTAGCGGGCGCCCGTGCACACACGCACCCCCCCCCCTCCCCCCACACACACATGCACGCACCTGGGTCTTGTAGATGGTGTACGTCTCCTTTTCATTCTGCAGGGCCCCTCGGAAGTCGCCCAGGCAAGACTGAGCACGAGCCACCAAGTGGTAGCTCACCGCTACCTTCAGGCTGCGGCTCCCATAAAACCTGCACACGCACAACAACATGCATGGCTACTGAGGACTGCGCAGTTGTACACCAAAAGATAACGAGTCACGCCATAGAAGAGAGCTATGGCTTGATTTCAACCAACTGAGGTCCTTCAAGAACCGCCTAAATTTCTTTGCTTGGATGTTTTTGCATTTCGTCCCCACTGAGATGTGGACACTGTTGCTGCACAACTGAGGTGTAGCTCCACTTGAGCTATTTCCTGAGGTGAATGACAAGACTACGTTCATTCCATTGTGTCTAAAAAATAATAAAAAAAGAGAGACGAGCCTCTCAAACCATTCCCGTTCTTTATTAAGAACAAGGACGGTATTTACTTGCATAATTCTCGCAACCCCCACATCGCCCAAGAAAAATATGATTTCTTTTTTTTTCCCCCCGAGTAATTACCACACTCCCGAAAACTGCCGCAATAATGCCGTCTGCTCGTTCCAGCCACTGATGATGATAGCGCGCGCCATCTCTTGAGCATCAAGCGTACTATTGCATGCAGATTTAATCCAATCCAAGCCAAGCCAAAGTGGACAATGCGCGTTGTGGCGTGTTTTATATGCTGTGTCGGTAATCTTGGCATGTTATGGGGTGATACTGAAGCTACACGGCTGCTTCAAGTTGCAAGTGATAGATCATACACTAAACAATGGCAACAGGGCCGCCGGTAGGCCCTTCGAAGTCTACGGGTTTTGTGTTCGCTACTGGTGACGGCAGCTGAAACCCACTAAAACGCGTTGGACCTGCCGTGGGCCTAAAACTGGGATTGATGGTAAACTTTATTTCTTCAGAAGAAAACTGCGGACGATTATGTTAAATAGCCATCAGCCCAATACTGACGTCCTACGCTTACTTTTTGAGGGCTCCTGTTGAGCGACGAACGCTACCGTTAAGCCCGCAACGCCAACAAGCTTTGCTTATGGTATTCTAATTCACGACTATTTGCTTGCACTTTTCTTGTCCCAAATAAATATTGCCTTGTGTTGAACCTCTGCTTTTATTGTTTAGGTAAGTTCTAATTAGTACTTCTTAAAGCTTGCTGTAAGTTGCTGGTGTGAGAATCCCGATTTGCGGCCACTTCGTTTTCTTTTTCGCTCTGTACGTTTTCGTGGAAAAGTTTTCCCCGCGTAATTATCGCACCCCCAACTTTGCATCAGTTTTCCGGCAAAAAAGAGCGAGGATTATGCGAGTAAATACGGTAAATGTCGCGAAAATGACAGGTTTGTGCCACGGAACCACCAGACTCCCAAGGTTTTTCCGTTCTCCCCAGTCTCTTTTAGCTTAAGAGATTAAGTATTATAGATTCTTTAAGGGAGGCTCAAAGAAACCAGTGACCACGTATGCTACGGAAGGTATAGAAGCAAGTGTGCCACTTACGCAATGTTGAGCTTGAGGGCATTCTCGAGGAACCTTAGCGACAAGTCGTACTCCCCAACAGCATGCAGGATGAGACCTATATTGCTCTGCAAACAGAAAAGGAAGAAGGCAACTTGTGTTAAGCCAAGCTTCATAGTGACTGCTGTATAATTCAATAACAGCACCTCTGTAAACCTTGATCAATTATTCACACCAAGCACTCTACTGCATCCGAAGAAAGTGTACCATGTATTTTCCATCGATTTATTTATGGAGGCAACCTGCAAATATTAGCAACATACAGTGAAATCTCGGTAGAATGAACCCCACATTAACGAACTTTTCAGATTAACGAACTCTTAAAAAATCCTGCACCAACTGCTAATAGTTTTAATGTAAAATTATTTCACTACAACGAACTTCAGAATACCGAACTTTTTAAAATAATGAGCGTTAATTTAGTTCCACATTATATTAACAACGCCTCAGTAATACGAACTTATGTTCTGAAATCCATCGCGACCACTGGAGCGGTACGCAAGCAGACGACAAACCGAATGGACGCCTCGCTTCTCGGAAGACGCGTGATGTGGAGGAAAAAAAAAACAACGAAAGGGCAACTTTTTTTCTTTTTGTTGAAACGCAGGACGCATGGGCGCGGAAAACCTGAAACAGCAAGAGAGCAAAAAATGAAACGCGAGGAATTTTCTTTTTTATCACTTTTTTTTTTCCTTCAAAAGAGGCGATGACAGCCATGATGCTTCAGGTTTTTCTTTGGAGGCCTTGTTTTTTCAGTCGTGTTCATCTCTTTTCGGTGATTACTTAACGGGTTCGCAAAGCAAGTCGGCATTCGCGCTGCCGTGATACTACAAATGAGTTCATCTCTGCTTGCGACGAAGAAGCGGAAGCAGTTTTTGCTAAGCAATGCAATGGATATTCTTCGGCGATTGGAAGGCAAAAAAGCAGGCTGTTGTGACCATAGAACCGAATCGCACCACAGGAATTTGGATGAGCTAGAGGTCTTCGCGCTGCAAAGTTTGTGCTGCTCGCGTCAAAAAAAAAAAAAAAAAAAAAAGATGATGATTTGTGAGGTTCAACGTCCCAAATCCACCATAACATTATTCGAGACGCCCCAGTGGACGGCTCCGGAAATTTCGACCACCTGTGGTTCTTTAACGTGCACCCAAATCTGAGCACACGGGCCTACAACATTTCCGCCTTCATCGGAATTGCAGCCGAGTACCTTAGCCACTAGACCGCCGCAACGAGGGAAAAAAAAAAAACAAAAAAAAAAAAACACCACCTTTTAAAAAGTAAACGTGCATTTTTTGGTGTTAACTTGTGCATTTGTTCATTTCTCGTGAAAAACGAGTTCAAGGACCCACCGTTGTAATGTTGTTTTGGTCGGTGAAAAATAAGTATTTATGGTTAATTTTCGAGCTTTCACTATAACGACCTTTCAAAGTAAGAAATTTCCGCGGTCTCCTGAAGTTCGTTATACCGAGATTTCATTGTGTTACCATTAATTGAAGAGACCGTTTGACACGTGACATCACATTAGTAGACGGCGCCTTGGCAGCTGGTCTTAAATGAGTAGAAGTTGCTTGCAGCACTAAGCTCATTGCAAAGCTACAGCTACGTCTCACAACATTTTGTAACAAGTTTTCAATTCGAAATGAATTTCGCATGCTTTCCACATAATGTGACCCAAGCTGTGGTGGAGGAAGTGTGTCAAAATTTCGAGCGTGCTTAACTATCACGCTAACCAATGAGAGAGACAAGTGAGTTGAAGGCAGGGGAAGTTTAACAGAATTGAAAGATAAGGTTTGCTACCCTTCACCGAAGGTTTAATCCTAAAGTCATCAGCTGCATTACCTGCCATAGTGTCACCACCATATGGCTCTCCACAAATTTCACTCTCGAGCGAGCCGAGCACGTGAGCACCTCACAAAATAACAGTACACTTACGTCAAGCACTGGCATTTCTGGATGGTTCTCCCCACACGCTAGCAGCATGAGGTACCTTGCTCGGTATAGCAGCTTCAACGTCGTCGTCACTTGCGAGTTTGCGAAGCAGTAGAGAGCGAGGTGGGTCTGCAAGAACCAGCATCTCCATTCACAACAAAAACCTAGCTTTGCCCCGAGCCTAAAAACTTTCATTGCTCTATAGGTGCATGACAAGTGTACGCTTCCAAGTATTTCCTTGAACAGAGTTATTTTTATTCTGAATCAGAAACTCTACAACAGGGGTTTTACCAACAATTTTCAAGAGAGCAAAAACTTTCCTTTTTCCACTGATACACTTGTAGCATATATAAAATAGCCGTCGGCGGGCAACAGCAACAAGACCAACTTCACAAAGCCATCGTCCCATTTTCATGCTGTGTGCTATCTTTAAGACAATAACTTTAAATGAGAAAGCCGCGATAATGCATTGGAGAGGTACCACACCTCTCCTCCACCCCCCTCTCCCTGTTTTAGGCACCGTAGGCTGCAAGCGGTGTCTTCATGCAGTGTTGCACATGCAAAGGCTCGCTCAGCACAGAACATTCGGCGCAAGGCACCTGAACAAATGTTGGTGCAGACTTACGTATTCGGTGATTGTGTAGGGATGATCGATGCCATTCACTCGTTCACTCATGAGCACAGCCTTCTGCTGGTATGCCATTGCCTGTTGGGAGTGACAACCGTACGCTGTACACTCAATTGAATGAAATGTGCAGCTAATGTCCACACTGTCCATTTCCTCACTAATCATGCCAGCATCTTAACATTGATTAATTATCCAGTAACATCATTTTACTTAGAACACAGAAAGCCATTTTAGACAGCAAGTTGCATTGTTTGCATTCATTATTAGGTTTTTATTCTCTTCTGTAATATCCCAAAAAAGAAAAGTTTGGGTAGCATGTCTGAACCCCTCCACCTACATTCTCAATGCCCTCACTAGGAGACTTTAGTGAGATTGATTGACTCAAAATGAATGAATAAAACAAACAAACTTTATTTTACAGCTACAATGCCACTGCAGTCATGCATTGCTACAATGGGCATATGTGAAAATAGCACACCTCCAATCATTTTTTTCAAACTGGCAGTTCATTCCGTGGCTGAACACATTCAAATATTATTATAACAAAATTGCATCTTATAGCAAAATAGGTTAGTTATATATGAAAATTTGTTATAAAGATATAATTATAGGACTACATTTATTGCGAGACTATTCTTAATTTACTCAGTTATAACCGATATTTCGTTATAATGAGGTTTCAGAGAAGTACCATAAATCATTTTGCATGTGTATGTATGTGTGGTGTCTTCATACACCTAAAAAGCACCTTAGGGTAGTAACAAATGTTGCATCTTGATTAGTCGATGCAAAAATAGAGGTTGAGGCTACAGCAGAGAAGATATGCTACTACTAGATTCTTGAATGAAGGACACTCATTTCACTGGCCACTGCAAGGCGATATGCTATCTTCTCAACATTCAGCAAGCCCTTTAGCCAACTGTCTCCACAAGTGATGAACGAGATAGACAATGCCCAGAGATAGTAATTGCAGCCCACCAACCTCCAGGTGGTCTCCCATGACGTAGCACAGTCGCGCCAACAGACGCAGGCACTGCGCAATCTCTGGGTGCAGGGCACCGTACACGTTGTTCATGAGGTTCAGGGCCTCGCTGACCAGCTCGTAGCCCTCGCGCAGCAGGCCCTGCTGAATTTTGCTCTGGCCCGTCAGGTAAAAGCGGTATGCGTCCGTTGCACGAGGATGCACATGCTTGGCTACCGGAAACACCTGCTCGGGGAAAGACGGCAGGGTGAAGAACAGGCGCACAACAACAAGCGCATGCAATGCACCCCAATCTCAGGAAGTAATATGAGATTTGAATAAATGACATCGCTAACCAACTTTTTCCCGTGATGGAGTTGAGAACTCTCATTGTGCTGCGCCGTTGAGCCCCACTTTCATTCTCACTTCTCTTTCTTCCTAGCTGCTGAGACAGCCAATGCCTTGCGTGGGACTTGTGATTCAGAAAGGGAAACCTCGGATGCCGCCTAGCAGTATACCAGGCAATACCAAAACAGTAACAATGAGAACTACTGCCCACTTGTCTCAAAATGTGCTAAGGCTGCACATTTTCTGAAGGTACAGATCAACAGGCATGAACACAAGAGAGCAAAAGTAGATGGGAGGAGCCTTACCAAAAAGAAGCAAATGGCTTCGACGAAGACACTTTCTAAGGTTTATTGTTTCACTATCTCGAACACTTTAGCAACAATTTGGTCTCTGCTTACAAGGTGCACATCACAGTTCTGAGGAGCTGAACTGTACGAGATTCACCATCAGGCTTGGTAGAGTTCACCTTTTCAACTGCCTCAATTTCTTGAAACTTAGTCGATTGTGTGCTCATACGCAGCCGGCATTTTATTGGCTGAACAATAAATACTGATTCATTGACTGATTGACTAAATAAATTGATCACCGAACTGGCAAGCACCCCCAACCTGAAGAATGTCGTCCTCGGTGAACGGGGCCCGCGACCTGTGCTCCAGGGAGTACTCTCGATGGAGTAGCTGCAGGCCCATCTTGAGGCAGATGGAGCGCAGCAAGGAGCACTTGTGGAGTCGCAGGCCCTCTAGGTACTCGTCCGGGCAGGCGCCCACAGATGCGGCCGTCGAAGGCAGCTCCCAGCCGTAGTAGGAGCGCAGCTCCCCACGCAGCTGCTCCCACAGGGAGCGCGACGTCAGGCTTGCCCACTCATTGGTGTCTGTACGTGGTGAAGTATGACGTGTCAAGCTAGTTGGCACAGATCTGATCCAGGCGTTCTTCTCAAAGATAGATTAGTTGTCAAGCACATGCCATTAGAAGGAAAACAAAGGGACACAACAAATTAGTTTTATAAGACGAATAATCCTCTGAGGTCTGTATTGGGGTCAATATGAACATTATAGGGGGAGACATGGCACTTAAAGGTGTCCTAATACACTTTTTCAAGTAACCATAGAATGAACGCTCTGGGAGAGCTTATTGCCCCACGAATTAAAAGGCACAAAAATTTTAAAAGTTCGTCCAGGGCGAGTGGAGTTACAAAGATTCATCACATGTTGCGATTGCATTCTTTCTTCTCTTGTCCCGACAAAAGCGTTGGAAGCTAAGCAGAAAGGGACGGCAGGCACGAAAGAAAATGTCACGGGCGCTTCATGACCTTGAGCACCTTTTCTTTTTTTTTTTTCTTCGAATACGCGGCTTTTTCAGTGTGATCGTCCACGCATGCGTAGACAAGTCGCGGCCTCCCGCGGCAATCTCTGTAACGACCGAGTGCACCATGTTCAAATCAGCCAATGGCTGATATATGGGCTTACTACGAGTGATTTTTGGCATTATTCCGTGATTTGTTGAGAGAAAAGAGAGCAATTTCTAGCTGAATTTGAAAATTTATTGTGAATTCCACGCTGCGTACTGCGCTATAATATTTGGCTCGGGTGTTGTCGAGAGCCTCTACTACCTATAGGTAGCGCTTTCTGACCATGCCCAAAAAGTGTTGCAGGGCCCCTTTAAAAAACGTTGTTTTATTTCTTGATCAATTTTGATGAAACTTTGGCGAGCGTATGTATATTTGTGTGCCAATTTCAAGTATGCAGTTGTTCTTCTTATATTAAATGTAGCTTTTAAAGTACTAAATATTTCATGTGCCTTTTGGGGAGCAAGTTTTTGTCTAATCTACATGAGTTACTAAGTAAATCAGCATATCAAAATAATGTGGAATGAAATCTGACTGAAATTCAACAAAGATAGATGTTCAAAGCCCGCTATAAAAAAAATTATGGAATGTTTAACGCTTCCCAGTGAAATACTAGCTTCAAGTTGACTCACTCTAAATGTTCAACGCACCATAACTTTTCTTCACAATAATGTAGAACATCCAATTTTCTTGCATTGCACACAGTCTCGATTCCAGATTATTGTGATATGCTAAATTACTTTGTAGCTCTCTTAATTTAAAAAACTTTTGCTCCCTATAAAAGCCCATATAATACTTTGTATTCTAAAAACTATGCTTTATACAAGAAAAATAATTGCATATCTAAAATCTGCACACACATATATATAAGCTCACCAAGTTTTATCAAAATAAATTGAGAAAAAAACTCTTTTTAAAGAGCAGCGTCACCCCTTATAGGCTAATCAAATCAAAGTTTCATCATTTTTGAATTACATGCCGAGAGTTCAGCCCCCTGCGTGTCAGTGTCACTTCACTGATGTTGAGGACGCTTCTGTAACGTTGCTACGTTACCTCAATAAAATTTCCTGAAGTTGCTACCATATTACTTGGGCTCTCTTAGCATGGAATGCCAATCCTATTAACACATATAAATTTTGTTACATTTGGTGGTGTCTAATTTTGGTTTTTGGCTACTTTGGCGTCTACATTTCGCATTGTTCTTTCCGAATAATTGTACGGTTCGCACCTTCCTTCTTTTTTATGTTTGTTTTGTATTTATTGCATTATTTCTTTGCTTTATGCATTACTGACATTTTCTAACGTTCGTGCATAGTTCTTGTTTAAATGCCTTGTGCATTTAAAAATGAGCCCTTGCTTGGGCTCATTCTTGAGCCTGCAGTATTCTGTAAATAAATAAATAAATAAATAAATAAATAAATAATAAAATTTCCCACATTACGAAATTGGCTCTCTTACCATAGAATGCAAATCATGTTTACAAATATAGAATCACATAGCCTCAGCGAGCATCGAAGTGGGGTCGAGTTACATCATGCTATGACATAGTGTAGTGCTGTACGACACGCAAGATAGTGCGGTGGTTGTACCTTGTACAGAGAACAAGTTGTGCCTGCCCTTCCTCTTGCCCTTCTTCCGGTTGCTCTTGAGCTGAAAAAAAAAAAAAAGATATGAATGATTTCTACAAATGAAGCAACCAAAGACACTTCCCCGCAGACAAAAGCTGAACCCAAGTTTCAGAAGGTACACCCACTGCAGCGATTGTAGGAAGAGAGTTTATGTCTCACGAAGTAAACGTCCAAGGCCCCAAGGACATGTTTTGGAATATGTTACCTAACGGCCACAAAACAACTTATTTGATCTTGTTCCCTAAAACAAAAAAAGAAGTTAACTTCTTTGGCGCAAACAATACGGAAAAAAGGAAAAAGAAGGCGAGGAAAGAAACAGATTGACGCCAAACTAACAACTACTTTATTCTTCACACATCCTGCCACATACCTCTGGTATGTGGCAGGATCTACATCGGGCAAACGGGACGTTGCATAAACGAGCGTCTTAGGGAACATGCGCAAAAAATAGTTAACAAGGTAGACAAAGGGGCACATCTTGTTGCTCACCTGCAATCCTGCATTGGATGTTCGCCACGGTTTCATGATACGATGATTCTGGGCAGGAGCAGGAATGAAGATGCAAGACTTGCTTTGGAGGCTTATCATATTAAGAAAAGCGGAGCTGACTGTATCAGTGATACTTCCGTTTCTTTGCATGCCATCGAATATGAATTTTTGCGTACACATCTTGGTTAAGATATCGTGTTCTACAAGTGTAATATGACAACACGCGTGTACATTCAGGTGTGTGGTGTGATGTGTTAAGGTTTAGGAATTTTTCGTTTTTACGTATACGATACGAAGCTGTGCGTGCGCATGCAATGTATGTGGTTTCGGCATATATATGCGTTGCTGTGTGAAGAATAAAGTAGTTGTTAGTTTGGCGTCAATCTGTTTCTTTCCTCGCCTTCTTTTTCCTTTTTTCCGTATTGTTTGCGCCAAAGAAGTTAACTTCTTTTTTTGTGCTATGTACCAACTAGACCCAACGCAAGTTTTACTGATGTTCCCTAAAAGGCACATGAAATATTTTCTATTCTAAAATGTACGCCTTATACAAGAAAAATACAAGAAAAAAGGAAAGTTCGTGTGTTCTAAACCCCCGCCCACAAGTTTTGTAATCCACCCCCAGGAAGAGGACCTAACACGTTCTTGCAAAAGCTGGGAACCACCTTGGAGACACTCCGTATTTACCCCTATACCAGGGCAAAACCTAACGAAGTTCCACACTGTAGCAGCAACCTTGACAAGCCATGAAAGAGAAGATGAGATGCTCACCTCATCGGAGGAGACGGGAGCCTGGACATTGACGGTGGGCGCAGCGAGGAAGCAGTTGAGGAAGTGGCTGATGGCGGCTGCCATGTTGGTGGGGTCGACGCCCTGGAGGTAGGTGGTCAGCAGGTGCTTGGCGGCGCGAGTGAGCAGCTCACCCACAACCACTGCCTGCAATAAGCCTCACGTGTAACGATACAAGTCACTGGCGCTAGGGTAGTGTGGGCACTATGTGCACTGCCCGCAAGTGAGAATAATTATATGTGGTATTTAAAACGTCCCAAAACCACCATATAATAATTAGAGACGCAGTAGTGAAGGACTCCGGAAATTTCAACCACCTGGGGATCTTTAACTTGCACCCAAAATTGAGCACACGAATGATAACGAAAGTAGATACTGAATACCAGAGTTACTCGAATCTAACATGCATCTTTTCTTTCATGAAAATTTCCCTTGTGCATTATAACTGAGTATAATTCTAAAACCATGTCCCTCCTTTTAGAAGGGCCAAATTCATTGCTATCGCCATCACAAAAAGGGTGACAAAGCATGTTCTGTTCGAGGTTGTGTGGGTTCATTTGGTGCATCGCCGCAGATCGAGAGAATTTCATCTGTTGCTTGTGAAGTGCAAATGGTGACTCACTGCTTTTATTATGAAAGTTAACACTATATTGACTAGTGCAAACCAAGAGAGATCATCATGTTCTGTTCGAGGTTGTGTGGGTTCATTTGGTGCATCGCCGCAGATCGAAAGAATTTTATCTGTTGCTTGTGAAGTGCAAATGGTGACTCACTGCTTTTATTATGAAAGCTAACACTATATTGACTAGTGCAAACCAAGAGAGATCATCAGTTGAACGTCAACCAGCAATAGCCTCTACGAACTGAACATAGAAAAATATGCAGACTTCAAAAACGAGCTTGCAGACGACTTGCTCAAGTGGCTCTTTGAAGACCGAGCTTGCCTAGGTAACTGCCATTGAATCGGCACACAATATGCATCAAGAAGTCATCTTAAGGGCCCTGCAACACATTTAGAGGATGGTCAGAAAACACTGCCGATTGGTAGTAGAGGGTCCCGAGAACATGAGAGCCAAATAATATAGCGCAGCATGCAGCCTAGAATTCACAATAAATTACCAGTCAGCTAAAAGAATTGCTTTCTCTTTTTTTGATAAATGACAGAAGACGCTCAAAAATCACTCGTAAAAGGCCATCTATCAGCGATCGGCCGATTTAAACATGATGCGCTTGGTCGTTACAGAGATCGCCATGGTGATTTGTCCACGCGTGCATGCGCAATCACACTGAAAAAGTCGCATATTCGAAAAAAAAAAAAAAGGGACTCAAGGTCACGAGGCACGCGCGACGTATTTTCTTTGCCATTGCCAGCCCTTCCTGCTTAGCTTCCAGCACTTTCGTAAGGACGAGAGAAGAGAGAATGGAATTGCAGCGTGCGACAGATCTTTGTACAACTCCACTCGTACAGGACGAATTCGTAAAATTTTCGCGGCGTTGAATTCGTGAAGCAGTAAGCTTTTCCACTGAATTTATTCCGTGGCTACTTAAAAATGTGTTTCAGAGCCTCTTTAAGAGACAACCAAACCAATCTCATAATCTATGAAGGAAACTTGCAATTGTCTGTACCTTTTACAATGCCGAATCGCTGTTGACGTTGAATAAAGGAGAACTTTTGAGACGGCCATCTATAACAGACGGCCATCTATAACAGCAGACACTTTCATTGCCGAGTAACAAAATAGGCGAGCTTTCCATTGTGAAACTAAGAGGTACTAACATGCAAATACTTCAGCTGCTCCATGGGTGCCAGCATGTCTGCAAGCCGTCCCAAGTACCTAATGTTGATACCCCTGCAATTAAAGAAAGAAAGATCATTTAAGAAAGACATGCACCACACAAAATAGTAAAATGAGATTAAACACTGGTGCTGAAATTACAATTTGGACACTTAAGATAGGCTTTTCAGCACTTTAGCCTCGATACTGTTCATACCAAGGCCAGGTTTGAAATTAATACCCATAGAAACTTCCAAGACAACCCAACATGACGAGGTAATGGAGATTTGTGGGGTTTAACGTCCCAAAACCACGATATGATTATGAGAGACGCCGTAGTGGAGGGCTCCGGAAATTTTGACCACCTGGGGTTCTTTAACCTGCACCCAAATCTGAGCACATGTGCCTACAACATTTCCGTCTCTATCAACATGACGAGGTAGGAGACATAAAATTTGACGAGAATTCGGAAAGAAATGCGCAATATTTCGTATGTCGCTGTTCCATTTATACAGAGCTTGTGACAGATGTTGCATGAGCATAAAGAAGGGGTCCGACCATGAAAATTAGTAGCAGATAATGGCAGCTATTGGCATCAGAAACACATTCCATAATATTACATGGCTGCAGCAGGTTGTTCAAATGCCCACACTGAACATGCGTTTTGCAGTTACTCACCGATTGTGCATAGCTTCACTGAGTGTAATTCCATCGATGGGAGAGCAGGAGTGTTCCACGCAGTCTTTCACCTGAGAAAACATGAGATAGACAAAGTTGCAAGTGAATACCTCTATCAGATGAAGCAATAACTGCAACCTTTAGCACACGTAAGTCTATAGCATAAAAGTGATAATCCATGGCAGCTTCAGCAGGCCAGGCAAACAGACTGGGAAGTAACCTGCCCTAAAAACTGGAATGATAGGTCGAATGGAAAAAAATACAAAAAATAAATGCGATGAAAATCAGACCCTTGTCATATATACCAGTCATTGGCAGAAAAAAGTGCCTCCACTGCCATTGCGAGCATCAGCAGCGGCGCCGTCGGGCAAGGTTAAGCAAGGCGGACAGTGTACTCGCAACGCCATTTCGCTTCGGTTATCTTTTGTCAGTCTGCTGTTTTCTTTTTTCTATTTCCTTGAGAAACGAGTGATAGTCAGCAGCTTATGATAGGCTTTAAGAAAAAAGTTATCGCGCATGCTCAGGCGCACGGCAACCTGGCGTCACAATGGGAATTCGGTGCATTGAAGAAAAGCGTCCAATACTGGAGGAGCCACAAGCAGTGCATCACATCCTGCAGCAAGCAAAAAAAAAAAAAAAAAAAAAAAAAACTCCGTTTCATGGATCGACTGCACTGCACCCAGAACAGGAAACGCTACTTGCCGAATTCCTCGGCTAGCTGTGTGCAAGGTCGCTACTCGTAAAAGCGGAGTGCATCATCCGCATGAAGGTTATCGAGATAGCGTACTACTCTGGGCTCACGAGGACTAGCTCAAGAACTCACCATCGTGGGTGCGCCAATTTATGAACCAGAAGGGCTTTGCGCTGAGGCCGCGTACGTCCGTGTGCCAAAAACTTTCTAAAGATTTCGATAACAAGCTGGTCGAGTATCAGCGCTTTGTCTTAGGGCTTAGTAGACAGCATTGCTACATGATGGGACACATGAGCAACGCTGACGAAACTTCGGTCCGGTTTGATGTGCTCTCGAACCGGATTGTGACCGCTAAAGAATCCAAGCAAGTGAAACTCTGGACAACGGGCAACGAGCATTCGCAATTTACAGTGATGCTCGCGTGAACAGCCGATGGAAAGAAGCTGCCCCTTTATATCATTTTTCAAGAGAAAAGGGCTACCAAAAGAACACTTTCACCAAGATGTTATCATGAGAGCGAACGAAAAAGGGTTCATGAATGAGTCCCTCATCATGCTTGAATGGATCTGGCTTGGTGTGCAATCGGCGACCCGATGCGCTTTTTCAGTGGCTGAGCATGTTGGTGCTCGACCCATTTCGAGGCCACCTCACGACCGATGTAAAAGTGCTCTGTCCCATGGAAAGATAGACCTTGTCGTGATCCCTGGGGGACTAACATCAATGCTCCAGCCACTGGATGTAGTGCTCAATAAATCCGCTGAAAGATCGCGTGCGCGAGCTCTACAATGAGTGGATGCTGGGCGACAATCTCAAGACCCCCGCTGGCTGCCTATGACATCCACCGCTTGTGGCTGGGTGTCATTAGCATAGAAATCTCCTCCAAAAGAGGTGGTGCGCAAGTCTTTCGGCATATGCTGCATCAGCAACCCATTGGACGGAATTGGATACGATGCACTCTAGAGAAAAACAGATGTCAAACTCAAGTTTGGACAAGTCTGAGTGACAGCGCTAGTGGCCTTCGGGCGTTTAACTACACAAGATTAGTGTCGGAATAAAAAGAAATGTCACCACAGTGCAGCTGGGTGTGTCGCATATTTATCTAGCTAGAGGTCTGCCACGATACTTTCCAATATATAAAAATTTCTTTTTCGGAGATTAAAAGTTGGGGGGTCGACCTATATTCCGATTTTTACGGCAACTAGCTACAAAGCCCACCAGTGAATGTTACGAAGAGATGTAAAACTTCTTTAAATAAATAAATAAAATATGATAAATATTCACATACATATAATGGTTGAAATTTCAGCCAATTTGAAAGGATTCACCATGGAAAAGTTAAGGGGGGACATGGTTCTTAGGGCTCTCATTTATTTTTGAACCAAGTGTGACTGACAGAAGTTGGCATGCATACTTACTTTGTTCTCCGGATTCTAAAAATGTAGTTATTTTTTTCTGTAGCTTCATTAGTTAATTAAATAATCAAGATAACAATTTCTATTGTTTTTACCTTAATAGAAAAATGACCACCTGTCAAAAATTTATAAATAACATAGAGATTGACAGTAGAAAGCATAAGACATGCAACATAAGAAGCACTTTTTTGAATGGGTCATTATTTCTTACTTTACAGTACACTAAACTTCACAGCCCTGAATGTGGCCATTGTGTGGTCACACAAAAGACTAGTTTGAAAAACTTGCATCAAGAGAAATCAAAATCTGCTTCCTATGTTGTGCGCTCCAAACATATAGCTGCAAAATAAAATATTCTGCTATCTGAAATAGTTTCAGATATATTGCAGTAATTTTCATGCAGGGTGTACAAAATTTCCATTTTGAGAAAATGAAGAAAACAAAGAATCTTAACATTTTTAACTGTAAAAATGTATGCACTTATATTTACATAGCCATTGACATATAAATGAATGCTAGAAAGCCTAAGGAGTGCAATGCTGCAAGCTGATCGAAAACTGAACGAGTACTTCTCGAATTACAGCACAGTAAAGTTCATTGCATGTAACCAAATACAGAAATTTTTACATTAAAATAAAAAAATTGAAGCTGCCCATTAAATATAGGCTCCCAGCATTGTTTTTTGGCCACATTTAGCTACATTGTGCAAAAAAAAATTACAGCTCTAGTTGTCCTAGATCCGCTTTTACCGAATAAGCAAAAGGAAATGGTCAAAATCTGTGCTTCGAGAATAATGCTGTTAAAACTTAATTTCGCCATTCCGAGGGAAAAATATCATGGCACACATACTTTTAGTCAGTTAATATGCACCGGGAATGTGATAGGACTGATTGTTTGTACGAGCGTGTCGTTTCTTCTAGTCCTGTAGCAAGTTGTCGCCGTGTGCTCGTCTGCCGCGAAGCCGCTTATCAGTTCGGTGACTGTACTGATGGCGATGTGCGACGCATGTGTGTGCGTCATCCACGATCAGTCGAATAACGCGGCGATGTTTTCCGGCTTGTCCAGAATAAGTTACCCATAAGTGTCGCGAACCAAAGTTGCTTCCTCGCTCATCAATTTTGAAGCTACACGAGTGCCCAGGTGTTAGTTTTCTTTTCACGTAAGACTGCCGCATTTTCGAGCGGAGATCGCGACAACGTAGCGAAAACGCCGTTAAAAGCAGTCTACCTGTTGCCAGTAGCCTCCATCACGAGGGCCCCGAGCATGTTCACTGCGAACGGATTGACTTTCTGTTGTTGGTCGACGCGCGACATACTCCACTCTGACGGCCCGTCGCACAGTTCAAGGTCCTTTCGTCAGGCGGGGGGAACCACAACATCGGCGGGTTTAGCGATAAGACTGCACTTCCGTTCAGTCACTACGAAGATTGATATCTCTGGTAGCTTCACTTCTGCTATTTACTTGCCGTCCTCTAACTAATGAGGTTGCAAAACACAGCCGCTCTCAGTAACGTTGTCGGCAACCTACGGGCTCGTACGTGAGTTAGGCCTACACCGGTGACTCGGCGACCGCGTCGAGTTCGTTATCCTCGTTGTCCTGAGCCATAGCGGGGATCTTTCTGAAGTTCACAGCGAACGAACCACCGCCAAACCGGCTTCACCAATTACTGTAGCACGAAACTTCTTTACTGCCGCAAGCAGTCAGTAGCATCATGATGAAATGGCGCATGTCCGTGCGCGTCACGATGGTGAAGCAGACACCGAAAGCGCCCCCTGGCCAATCGGATGCCTAAATTCGGTCACGTGCCCCAAGCAGCCAATTGAATCGCGCGCTAGTGCTTCTCGGTGACGCGTTTTTGCTAAAAAACCAATGAGCAAGGTGAGCTAGCGATGGCGGGAAATTGAAGATGAAGAACGACCCTTCCAAACGAGACTAAGATGAACACGATAGCTTGTGTGTTACGGCAACAGTTTGGCGCGGAAAAAGCGCGATTTTAGCGTCCATTTGCGCTCACATTCATCTCACAGGGATGTCATAAATTGATTTTGCGCCAGAAACAATGACGCGAGAAGCTAGAAACTTTTCAGATAAGTGCAAAAATAGGCGCAGATTTCGGAAATGTCAACTTCAAAAAGTAGATTTTTTTTTGCGATTTTTGGCCTTCCAAGACCCGTGTCCCCCCTTACGAGTGCTGCCATAGACACAAGAGAAAGAATGCAAGCAACACAAAAAACTTGTCAGTAGTGTGTTTGTGTTGTCAATAAACAACCTCACACCATGCAACACTTCATAAAACGAGGTGTTTCTCTTTAGTACTCACAAAAGCGGGTAGTTGGTCGGCAACCAAAAAGTCTGCTGCCTCAATGACTAGACGCTGCTGCTTCTTCAGCTGCTCCTCCTGCAAAGGAAATGAGGTGCAAAACATTTTGAAGGTATGGGCATCCTGTATCTGCACACTGGGGAGGAATAATACATTGAGAGATAAAGAAAAACTTTGATGGCCAAAGTTTTTTTAACCCTTTAATGCCTGAATTACGAAACCGCCGAAGAAAAAATATGAATTTTTCGTTTTTGAGCATGATATATAAACCTTTACTTAACTCTGCAGTTAATTTGTCCGAAATGCAACTTTAATGCATACTTTTAGGTATGTCGCCAATTGGTGACAGCAGGCACTCAAGCCAGTATGTGGCTCAATACAGAGATATGTTCAAAGTCGAACCTTGAAAAGGCAATCCTTGCTTGTGTCATCAGGCAATGGCTTGTAGTCACTTGTTTAAATGCAAGTTTGGCTACATTGTTTCCACAACGATCATGTGACATCAGTGTCTGTGACTGTGTGGGAACCCTAGACTATGCCTGCTATCATAGCAGATTTCTTGGGAGTCGAAAGTGACATAAATGTGGTGGTGCCCAGAAACTGATCTAGATTGTCACGAGGCAGAGCTAGTTTTTTGTTACGACGTTTCTGCATCCTAAAAGATTGCTTTGCTCAATAATGTTAACCATGAAGGCAACACCGAAAATTCCTTTAAATATTCAATAAAACCAAGGACAGTGTAACACTAAAAAATGAGTAGCTATCTAATGTGGAATTCCCTGCTGTTCTTAACAGACCTTTAGGAGCTTGCTCCTTCTGCTGGGAGGTTGTCTCTTGTTATGCCGGTGTGTACGCTAGTGCTCATTGCTCCTGCTAGAGGCGCACCTGTGCTCTTCATTTCAAGAGTGCTCACTAGATGGCGAGCCGCCACTCGCTCCATTCTCGGTGCGAGTTATAGTTTGGTAGGAGACCGCTAGGTGGCCGCTCCTATATATAGCGCTCGCTCTCGGCGTGCTTCCCTTCTCTTTCGCCAGACACCACTCAGTGCGCGTCGATACCGCTACACACTATGAACACCGCAGGAACCAAGGAGGTGGCACGGAGGGCTCACAATGCGGCTGCAGTGAAGGCTCGCCTGTCAGGACCCTTCTCGAACTTTCAACTACATCTTATTTTTCAAGATCCTCTGGCTTTGTACTTTATGGATCACAAATCCATTACACTGAAAAGAAAAACGTTCCTCCAAGCTTATGTTAATGCTGCATCAGTATGTATATATCTGTATATAGTATAGTTAAACCTGGATATAACGAAATTGATAAATTCCCAGAAAAATTTATTATAAAGAGAATTTCGTTATATGCAGGTTCCGTGCGAAAATTTGGAAAATAAACGTGCAAATCAAACAAGAGGGGGACTGAAGGCAGATTTAACCTAAAACACTTACTTTACAGTAAAAAAAAACTGCTTTATTATTGAGATAGCAATAATATAGACACTCTCGACGGGTTTTTGCCGTCGCCGTCATGTTTCGTAACAAGTCCAAATTGATAACATGCCCCCCACGCATCGTAACTTTCACAAGCGGGTAAAAGCGCGCGACCGCTGCTAAAGCAGAGATCAAATGAGTCGACCCTTCCCTCTCACCTGGAAAGTGCATAAGATAACATCTCCCGCGTGTTAGAACTGCCATCGAATGCTCAAGCAGAAAGTAAACCACCAGTCTTGAACAAGCATGAAACAACGCAGGGAGGGAAGGGGGAATCGCTCGAGTAGCATACATGAACTTTTTTTAAGGGCGGTCGCGATCGCTGGGGCGCTTGCTATATCGGTGAGTATCAGTGCAGTTTAAACGCGAAGGGACAGTGTGAAAGGAGCACTTCTCCCTGGAGCGGCCGTACTTGCTCATACCAGTGTTTTGTAGGAGTTCCGCGACATCTGCTCAAGAAGAGTTGGCTGCCAGCCTTACTTTTTATAACATTGCAATTTTTTTTGCTATCGCATTTCGTTGCATTGCATTCAACACGCCGTCCTGTTGCCAAAACTATTCGGCTAATCGCGAAAGCTACCAGCCTGCGAACTCGTAGTGTGGCGCAAGACGAAAGCGCGTGATGAGTCTACCTCCGAAGGTACGTCGTCACCGTGGTCTCTGATAGAGTTTTCATCAGTGCCTAATCTGACATCCACTTGGTGGTGACAACGCGGTTTTCCGAAATTAAAGAAAGAAAAGTCACAGTTTCGCTGCAAGGGCAAAGCAATGAATGCAATAGCAACAACTTAGAATGTAATGCTGAGAACGGCAAGCACATTGAAACGTAACGCACAAATAATACACGAAAACAACATACACAGGCCGAGAGCAAAATAACAACATTTACCGCTCGAAACTTAATGCTCTGTTTGAACAAAAACGAAGCACGAAACGTAACCACAGGTACAGATATGAGTGCGAACTAACATTTGCCCCAGTCATAACTTCGCTGTGTTTTAAGAGCGTACTCTTTTCGCAAATGGCGCCTGTCCAGTGGGCGAAGTGAACTTTCTGTGCCCGGCAACTAAACACAATCGTACCAGTCAAAGTTGAAGGTGCGCGATTCACCTCACCGAAGGATAAGCGTGCGCGCACAAGCATCTACCCCCAATTCGCGAGGCACAGTACGCGTGGGAGACAAACGCGCGTTGGCACATCGTGACGAGCTGGGCGCTAAGCCCGGGCGTTTTTTTCATTTCCACAAGTTTTCAGATATATATGGATACGTATACACACACAATAAATGACGGCGGCAGCAGGGGTGCCAGCAAAAAACTGGCAGTGACTGTCCATATAATTGCTATCGCAATAATAAAAAAAGCAAAGCTGAACGTTGTCAGGAGCCACACCATGTGTGCGCAGTGAAACTATGCATGCATGGCGTCGAAAACAAAGAGCAGTATTTATTCGGTAAAGCGCCCTTCATATGAAACATGGCCCCACATATGTGATGCTTACTAAAAGCGTGGCACTGCCAATGCGCAAATGTAGTTTTTTTTTAAATTTTGGTTCGGAGGGGGAGGGGGGGGGGGGCACGCCTCCACATGCACTCGTGGCGGCGAGAACAGTGGCAATGCCGGCTCGTAGGGTGCAAGCTCGCCTGCCCGCTTTGGGCTCTCCTGCAATCAATAACGAGCGCTCACTTGCGCCTGGTGTGCCGTGCACCCTGCTGCCGCTTTGGCCTTCGTGCATGCTGGTATAAAAGTGCCAAAATGCGGAGCGAAATTCCTAGATTGGCCGTGGGGAAAATTCGTTATATCAACGTTGCCTTCCACTGTTACTTTGTTATATAGAGGTCGTAAATACATGTGCTTTTATAGAGCAACGGCGGGGAATAGAAAAACTTCGTTATAACGACTGATTGATTGATTGATTGATATGTGGGGTTTAACGTCCCAAAACCACTATATGATTATGAGAGACGCCGTAGTGGAGGGCTCCGGAAATTTCGACCACCTGGGGTTCTTTAACGTGCACCCAAATCTGAGCACACGGGCCTACAACATTTCCGCCTCCATCGGAAATGCAGCCGCCGCAGCCGGGATTCGAACCCGCGCCCTGCGGGTCAGCAGCCGAGTACCTTAGCCACTAGACCACCGCGGCGGGGCACTTTCGTTATAACGAGGAATTCCTTATATGAAGGTTCATTATATGCAGGTTTAACTGTCCGTTGATATGTAATTAATAAAGATTGTGTGTATAACGTGTATATACAATCACACCACGACAACTCTTGTGTCACGTCTTTATATGATGATTGAGCATATGTACAGAGGATTCACGGTTTACCAGATTCAACCTCTGGAGCAAGCTCCATCATTATTCACTTCGTGGATATGCGGGAATTTTTTTTTTATAGCACTGTATGTTTTAGACATGCACTTGGTTCATGTATCACATCTTCAGCTCCATCCTCACTGCTTGATGAAGGCACTCATGCTTGTGCATGATGATCAGAATAGATATCGTCATCTTTGCTATCACTATGACAGCTTTTGTAACTTTTATCATCTGGTGGATGTTTATCCATTTTATGAAAAAATAGTATTTTTTCCATAAATAGGTGAACGTCCATCACCTATCAATAAAAAAAATATTAACTTGTCGTACCAACAGTCACCACTTACTGCCTTAAATTCCAGATGTCGCAAATTTGCGACATACCATAAAGGTGAGGATCGTGCAACAAAAAATGTACTTCAGAATAATGTAACGTGTTATGTGCAGCCCCTTCCTTGGATGAGTTCACACAAAAAAATTTTTTATACAAAATTGAACTTTAGTAACTCGGACAAAAAAAAAAAAGAAAAAGAACAGACATGAGAGTTGCTACACGCGCTTCACACACATCAGCTACAAAACATTTGGTTTTAGCTTAGAATACCTTACAAAAGATGGTACTAAATGTCTCATGCTGAAAAGTACGTTTGCCACGAATACGTGACAGCTGGAATTGAAAGCAGCAGCAAGCGTTTTGGGACAAGTGTAGTTGGCATTTTTTTGGTCTGTTGCGAATTTGCGACACCCGGCAATAAGAGATTAATGTCAACTCAAAGTTCAGCGATGCAAGATTAACTGAAACTTGCCCTACCAAGATGCTGCCAGCGCGATGCACAGGACCGCACAGACAATGTGCTTCATAACTCCATACTTACTGCATTAAGTTCAAATTAACACCTAAGAAATCATAAAGACTAAGATCAGTCAATGATCAGATCTGATCGATAATATATAAAATACTGGGAGCACTTCATGCAAACAGCATAATTTTTATGCAACGATACAGTTGCCAGGATGTCAAAAAAAAAGTTAAAAATGCTGTCACACTAATTACTCACAAGCACAGCATTGAGCTAAAATTTGATAATATTCTGCAGTCATGCACAAGTGACACGACTTTATAAGCAAGTGCTACATATGAAGGTGTTAATATCAATGTGGTATGTGCATGAGCCAGAGCACATGAGGGCAGATTTTTTTTTTTTTCTTCTACAGGCAAAACAATGAATGGGCACAAGAATAGAAGAGAAAAACAAATCATGATCACTTACATCACCAGCGTGCTTTACTCCAGGAGAGAACACGTCAGGGTTGAACCTGATGTCAAACTCTGCATAGAGGAATGAAAAACAACTGATCAGCCTCCCTCACGCTAAGAACTGATAGTACCCTTGCTTACACTCGCACCAGAAACATGCTCAGAAGGACATACTAAATTGATACCACTGGAAGAACTGCGTCATGACAGCAAAACTACTGCCTTCGAGGAAAATGAATTAAAAAAAAAAAGTATATATACAGGCATTAGTGTGTGCAAATGTTAATACGACAAACACCAATGACCAGTTTGATTTAATGTTCACGTTTCTAAGGAGGCCTACGTGGCCTGCATTCAATCTCGTGACCCAGTGTTTGCTATCGTAAAGCTAGAAAAGCATACTGCACCAGCTATTTGTGCGTCACGAGAAATCACACCGACGTGAGACTCTCACCTGTATCCTTCAGGGAGCCAACGCCCCGAGCAGCCTTGACTATCACATCTGTCTGACTCTCAGCTGCAAAGAACGAGAGAAGCACACAGCCGAGAATGAGCAAGAGTCGCACTCACACCAAGCAAGATTTCGGGCTCCATTCTTAAGTGCCCACAAATCACTGCCTTTGCTTAATTATAGCTATCATGTGCAGGGCCCACTTTCCAAAACTCCGCTATGGTAGGCTACAAGCAAACTCCGGTGGAGGCCTTCAGATTAATTTGAGTTTAACCTGAAGCTACCAGCACATGAGTGCTGTTGGTCATCACTGCCATCAGAATGTGGCTATTATGGCTAGGAAATCGTATCTCAAACTGTGGTTAGTTGTAAAGCCACCACGGCACACACTAATCATTGTGGACAGTCATAGAATGATCGCAACCTTTCCCACTTTCTTGTTTACTGTTGTAAAGGTCAACATCAAGTTGCACCCGACAGATTTCTGAACATGCCGATAGCATGCAAACATACGTGACCAAGACATGAAGCTTCCGTACAGAGTTTGTGTTAAGTTTTCATTGTTGACTTATCATGAATGTCCTTTTTATGAACATTTTGTCCTTTTATTAAGGATACAAACAGCCCCCTCAAATAGAACAAACCACACAAGAAGAACGGCTTGTTTATACATTACTATGGTCTAATACCAAGTGCAGTGAAACCTTGTAGATGACTGGAATGAGGCGGAATATAAATGCTTTACCGTCGGACAACACGCCATTTGTGCCATGACTATCTCCGTTTCTTAGCCGTTCTGGTGACTTCCTGATCTCCCCTGGCATTAGAGGTGCCTCCGACATGTCCTTGTCCTTAGAGTCTTCCTCGGGGGACCCTTCCTTGGAGTTATCCTGAAACATGCGAGGCGATTCAGCAAGCGGTTGGAGTTTCGTCACATTGGTATTTTTCAACCGGCACCTAAATTTACGTTCATGGGCAAGTATTACATTTTACCCATGTTGGAATGCAGCTGTCGTGACAGTAACAAAACATTGCAGCTGCAAAGCTACTATGGTGGGTTGTGTACTTAAGGCTGTTCTTTTGGCAAGGAAACAGTTCATGCACCTAGTACAACAAAGATGCAAAGCGAGATAACTAGTGACCCACAAACCTTTGCCTCTTCCCCGTCCTTGGTAAGCTGCTTTTTTTCGAGGCTTCGCAAGTGGAAGGCGGCAAGCTTCATGAACAGCATGTACCGAGCACTGCAAAGACGGGAAGCAGTATTGCTTAATCAATAGGCACGTGCGAATATTCAAGCACTTCGAATACTTGAGCAATCATTACAGTATTTGTATTTAAGTATTCGAAATATATTAGTAAACAAAGCACATGTAACACCCTGTAAAACATGTTTCACTGCAGTGGAGAAATGCTATACTGTGAATGCTTGGCTTGTGCAAATAGTGAATTTTAGGTTCCAAGCAAATTTGAAGGGAATAGTGATCTTGACCGAATAATTTCAAATTGAATTAGAATGGTATGTATGACATATAAAAAAAGAGAATATTTATCATAACCTCACTAACTTGCACAATATTTCTTTTGAATTGAAATAGGAGCTGTATGCAAATGCCATTTTTTTTTTGTTCAGAGGAAGTCCAAACAACCTCGAGTGGTAGTTTTGGCAGGATGCGAGTGATAACCTGTAAGATACTTGACATTCTAAAATATATTATACTTGGAGCATATAAGCCATCATAACAAGCTTAATAAAATGAATTGATTTGAGGGTAACATGCTCCTTTGAAGGGTCCCTGCAACACTTTTTCAAGTAGCCATGGAGCCAGTAAACAAACATGCTTGTTGCCTCACAAATTTACCACCGCAAAGTTTCTAGAATCGGTTCAGTATGAGTGGAGTTCCAAGAATTTGTCGCACGCTGCAATTGCGTTCTCTCTTCTCGTCCCGACAAAATAGCTGGAAGCTAAGCAAGAAGGAATGGCATGGGGTAAGAAAATACGTCGCACGCACCTCGCGACCTTGAGCACCTTTTTCGCCCTTCGAATACGTGGATTTTCAGTGCGATCACACATGTACATGTAGACAAGCGGCAGCATCTTGCAGTGGCCTCGGTAACGACGAGTGCGCCATGCTCAAATCAGCCAATGGCTGTGACCAGAGCAGTATATTAACTTCTTGGCTGGGACAAGTGATTTTTGAGCTTGTAATGTCATTAGCCGAGGGAAGAAAGCAATTTTTAGCTTTGAAAATTTATTGAAATACAGCCCGCGTGCTGCGCTATATTCGTCTCGTGTGTTCTAGGTAGCCTCAACTACCGATCGGCAGCGTTTTCTGACTATGCTCAGTAAATGTTGCAGGACCCATTTAAATTTAAAAGAGGGCTTTGCGGCAAAACAAATCTTCCATGGCAAGGTGCTTTCACGGTTTAACACCTATACATTGCAGTTAAACCACCCTTACAAGCAGTTGCATGCGGATTAATATTTATTCGTTCATTGCAAATAATTAAAAAATATTCGATAATTTAAATTTGAATCGAAGCATTCGAATATTCGTACAAGCCTAATGAATACACATATCTATGTGCAATCCACACTTAGGAACATTTTACCATCAGATCGCTTGTTCGTTTTCTTTTTAATGTTAGCAAGCTTGTTACACTGGCTTACATGCTCCGAGTATGGTAAATTTTAAAAGAATGAAAAAAAAAACATTCCTAAGATTAGTTGGATTATGACAAATATGCCCATGTTGCTTTACATACATAACGTATCTACACTCAAACCTCATTATAACGTAACGGGATATAACTAAATAATGGATATAACAAAGTAAATAAAGTTCCCCTTGAAAAGCTCCATTGAGAACAATGCATTTTAAACCTCGTTGTAGCAAAGTAAAATTGACTGGTAAATGAATATAACAGAATATAACAAACTAAATTAGTCTATCAAAAAAAAAAAAAATGACCGTAGTGTGTTAAGTATATTATTTTCTGTGGAGTTTGACACTCATTCGGTGTGGCTCTGTGGTGCAAAGCAATTTCCTTCTCACAACGGCAACGACTGTGCCTCCGCTGCTACCATGGCTGCTAGCCTCTGCACCAAGAAAGGAGGGCTCTCCACGACAGCTTTCTTTTATTTTTCCTCCTTTTCCTTAGCGGCCTTGAAAGAAGAAGGTTCTCTACGTGCAGAGACAGAAAAGAGAGAAGCGTGGCACAGGCGCGTCGCAGATCAGCATTTTAGAAAAAGAAAACAATCCACCACAGTCTTTCCTTTCCTTTTCTTCTTTGCCTTCTTCGCGCGCAGCGTTGAGAGGTGCCGCCGCGGAATCGGGCATGGTGCTGAGAGCATTTTGAGTGCGCGGTATGTTCAACATTAACCGTCGCAAGTGCTTGTGCATTCGAATTACAGGGCGTTTTCGCCCATTGGAATACACAAAGCTTTGACGGGACCTCAGCGCGAGTTCGAATTACCCGAAACTTAGAATTAATGAGATTCGACTGAGTTTATTTTCCGTGGCACGCGTAGTCGCATAGCGGTACATCGGGCCGCAAGGCGGTTTCCTTTTTTGCATGCTTATAGGTGTGTGCCCATCTGAGCATACATTGCCACAAACTGTTATGATCGATATAACAAAATAATTGTGGCTCTTCTTCAACTTCGTTATAACGAGTTTTGAGAGTACTATTCAAATCCAGTTCTAAATTATTCGGCCAAATCCATATACACTTCGAATTTGATTCAAACCTCAAATTTACCATACGCACAAGCCTACAAATTGCAGGTATATAACCGCCGATGTAACATTTACGATTTTCGTGCAAATCTCTGCTGACCTGAAAAAAACGAGCAAGGGCAAAATACTACTGGCAAGAAAAACAGGGTGAACCAGACAAACCAAACGGAACAGTGTGTACAGAAACAATTTGAATAAGACCCAATCTCAATTAGAGCGTCAAAGTGAATGCAAATCAACGAGCAAGCACAAACAACATCAGGCACAACGCTGTCCTTGGTAATGCTAGCATGGCGCATTGTAAAGCGGTGCACTGGCACACAACCCAACCAAATATGAAACTGATAACGAAATATTATAACAGCCACACTTTAATGCCAAAGAGCAAGTTAAATAAAGAGTACATATTTCAGAGTACTCAGTGGATGTTTCACCTTTGTGTTTAACTGTCACTCTGACGAGGCAGCATGCATAACACAAAGTGCCACGCTATAACGCAAGATGCCTCGTCAGCACACTTACTCGACAAAGGCATCGATCAGCTCCTGTCGTAGGCAACACAGTTTGTGCTTGTGTTCCCGTGGGTAGCCCGCTGCTCTCGACTCCTTGCACAGTTCCACACCATCCACTGAAAAACAGAGGCACAGAGAAAGAAATCGTGACACATCAACGATACCATTCTTTTACCACAAAATAACGTAGAACTAGTACCGTACAAACAGTGGGAGCTGTTATTTCCCAAAGCGCGAGATGCATCACCGGTGAACTACACTCGAACCTCGATGAAACGAACACGAATCTAATGAATTGTCGGTTATAACAATGTTACATATTTTTGCGCATATAACCTGCCCCTGCATACAATCTGCACCTCAACTCTCAGCTCCCCGAGAAAGAAAAGAAAAAATCTTCGCGCATTGCCTGCACATTTGATATACAGAAAAGGCTGTACAAAATACTGCTGAAGCAGTAGAGAGCCCTTGTCGCTTCAAGAAGCGGTTCAGCCATCCGCAGCTCGCACGGGATCCGCGAGGTAGGCCATCTCAGTCCATATGGCGTGACCCCTACTTCCCACATCTTCGAACTTTACTAGCTGCACGTCCGGCTCAGGGTAGGCACCGGTCTTGGCGCCACGAAAGAACCTACAATCGCAGTGTGCAACTTGTGGGCTTTTTTTTTCCATTGGCGCATACAGGACTCTGTGTATCATGCTATCTTCCCGCTTCGTGATTCCCAAATTCCTCGGCAACGGCGATAGCAATCCTTTGAATATATAGAGTCGAGTGTGTTTTTAAATACACACTGTGCCATAAATGTGAGACTAGCTTCAATGAAAGATTGGCAAGAAGCTTTGGTTCAATATTTTCAGATTCAAAGGCCCTTTTGAAATATAGTTTGGTGATGTGATGCAACACACTATCTCTTCAGTTCGTGCTGCCTCCTGCACAGCCTGGAGATTTACCCCCGGCCAAATGCCCACACAAACAGCGCTAGACGAGGCAACTCACAAATGAGATAGTTGACATCGGGAGGGAACGTTCGTAGCAGGTCCAGGATGTAGTGCCTGTTGTCATTGCCAGTGATGCCCTGAAAGGGGACAGAGTGTCGCACTTGATGAAGAAAGCTGCAGCCAGTTGATATAGCATTAAAGGCATTTCCTTTGGCTATAAATAACACAAAAAAGCAGAAGCGTCGCTCACATTCAAAGGAATGTACTACAAGCGAACCCCGCTACAACAAACGCCGCTTCAACGAAATTTTGACTACAGCGAAAAATTCATGATTCCCTGTCAGCAGTCCATAGGAGTCAATGCATAAATATTGTCGCCACAACGAACACTTTTTCTTCGATCGTCCCGCTTCAACGAAATTTTACGATAAAATTCCAGACTCTGACACTTATAGCTATGCAATAAACCCAATATTTAACATTTTGATGCATCTTCAGAGCCTTAAAATGCATCAACGAAGTCTAAAACACTCGTTGGCACCACCAGAAACCGCCTCTATATCGCCGCTGTTCAGCAAGCATGGGCGTCGCCATTGCTCGATAGTGATTGCAATGAGACTGTCCTGCTTTTGTTCTGCCACTGGCTTGCTCTTGAGCCGCAGACAGTCCAAAGCTGAAGCTCAGTCGCTCAGTTCATGGTTTCCTTCTCGCAGCTGCTGGGTGCAACCGCGGCACGATGCCTTTTCCGATTCCAATGCTTATCACTATGTTCACGCTCGGCCAGTGTGGCAACTAATTAGAGCGACTGTTTGTCCACATTATCAACAAAATCAGCTAGCTGCGAGTGATGGATGATAAGAACGGCATAGAATAAATGCAAAAGTCGCCACTCCACGATACCCTGCCTCCATCTCAGCGTTGTCGGATACTTTTGACGGCAGACAGCTGCTGGTGTTAACGTGTTAATGCAACTGTTTGGCTCGTTCACGAAAGCAGTTGTAGGCGTTGTTTCAGCGTGCTTTTCACCATGGTCTCGCTATGCATGGGTGAGAATAACGACATGACGCTGCTGGGAAAGAATAGGAAGCAGCGGACATTTTTTGAATTTTGAGAATAAACGTTTCTTTGTTTAGCTAGCTCAGATCAGCGAATTTTTTTTTATTTCACTACAACGAAATTTTTTTTATGCCCCGTCAGTTTCATTGTAGCGGGGTTCGACTGTACCATGAGAAACACACTCGGAGAGCTTTGATTCCACACAAACTAGGACTAAATTAGGGCAATGACTTGACAGGTCATGCCGGATGCTGTGAAACTGTTCAGTAAATGTTTAATTTTTCAAACTAAGTAGTAGTCCGACGTTCACCAATGAACTGGTATGCAGAGACCTTTGCAACACCCTAATTTTACTATCATACAATTGCTCCGTCACACCTCGGCTGCCCCGACCACAGGATGTCACCCAACACAGAAAGACGATGTCCAAAGATGAGAATTATCCTTAGAAAAGCTAAGCTAATGAAACTACTTCAATTTTCATTGAAAAGCATAGCTAGTTAGCACGTTAGCCAATCAAGGATGACAATATATTTAAATGTAAACCATTGAGATGCACAATTTGCCTTTGCCTTTTGTACCCAGTTATAATGTGACACACCAGATTGCTTTAATGGCTGTCAGGCTACATTCTCATGCAAGGCAGTTTGATAAACTCATAGTGGTGTAGTCATTTATGCAAAGGAAAAGCTACCTGCAACAGATTTCTAGTCATTCTTTGCAAGAGTAAAAAAGAACAACCCTCTCGTTACATCAGGACAATATTGGCCCTTTTGTGCAGCGTCCAAATCGAATGGGACCACTCACCTTGCACTCAACAGAGGAGCACAGCTCCACTTCTTCACCCTTCTCATTGATCACACTGCGCATAAGAGTGTAAGCAAACACCAGTAAGTAGTCATTTTCGTTCAGAATACTGTGCAGTGCAAAATCATGCACAAGGAAAGATCTTATCACATCCGGCCAAGCAAGCTCACCTGTGAGGCAGTATTTTCAGTGCACTTCCAGCCTTTTTCAACTGCAAAAAGATACACATCAAGGCTTGGAAAGTTGTGCATTCATTCAATTCACAAAAAAGTCAAAAATAAAAAATGATTGAAGCAGGTTGTTCAAGAAAAGCAACGCATCAAAGTAAACTGACCAGCTCCAGGTAGTCTGGATGTGTGACGACTGTCTTGCCGAAGTCCACTGACCCGTAAACGACCGACTGGTCTTGCTCTCGCTCCAGGATGCCCGGGATGATGGACTGTGCCGTGACCCGGTAGCCCCGATAGTCCACCACCACCGTGCCCAGCGTGCACAGGCCGTCCACGTCCACAGCTGCATACGCTCGCACACCCTGTACCCAAAAACATCTAAGCATTAGAAGTATGGTTGTGTGGATGTAGAATTTTAAGGTTCAAAGTGAAAAGTGCTTTTGGTTGAGTAATACCAAATTGAATTCTAATGGTATATACATCACATATTATAACGAAAAAGAGGCATACCTGTCATGACCAAACTAACTTGCACAATATGTTCAAGAATTGAAACAAGGCCTGTGCAAATGCCCTTTTTTTTTGCTTCGAAGGAACTGGAAACAACTTTGAATAGTAGCAGGATTTGACTTTTGGTAGAATGAAAGTGATAGCCCGTGAAATTATGCTGAGGTTTGAAATTTGATATAATACTTAAAGCATATAAGTTGGCATAACGAGCTTTTACATTGGCAAAGTGAATCAATGTAAGGGTACTATGTTCATTTAACCTTGAAGTGGGGCTTTGCGGTGTAGGGTCTCGAATTGGCGAGCGAGCGCCACGCCACGCTCCTGGAGTGAACAAACACAGCAGACGCAGTCGGTACAAACCAAACAACATACTTTTATTTAACTACTTTTAGATATCATCCGCTGAATTATTATACATCAGTGATCAACACGCTAAGACATCCTTACACAATACTCCAAAACATGACAAACACAATACCACACCCAAGGCAGCGTTGCCAACGCTTGACTTACCATGAGGGCCCCTGACGCGCAATCCGCGGTGCCACGCACCGGGGACCCACGCTAGAGACAACTGTTCGCAGCAACCGCCACGCGCTGAAGAGCTAAACAACCTTACACAAAATTAACATACACTCAAACAACATAACACAAGAGCACACAAAAGGTGGCGACGCCAACGCTTCACTCAACACGTGGGCTTATGGCAGGCGGCACGCGGTGCCGTTCACGGCACACCCACTGCAAGAGACAACCGCCGGCGCCTGACGCCACCAGCCGAAGAGACTCACTCAACTCTCTCGCCCGCCACCAAGGCTTGCCTTCCTCCAGAGGTCACCGCTGGCGCTACTACTCAACCAACCATGATGATGATAGTGGTGATCACCCCTCGCTAACACAACGCCATTTGTCGCTCAATAATCGTCACCCCCAAAATACGGCTTCTGTGCAAGACAGATGCTCCACGCGGCGCAAACAACTTTACAGGGGGTGTCAGCACCCCCCTAGCAGCACTGCTAATTTTCCCTGAACATGTGCTTTCACGGCTTCGCACCATTACTGCAGTGAAAGCACATTTAGAGGATGTCACATGCAAACTAATATACGTTTCTTTGTTCGTCCCGACTAATTAGAAATTTTCGATTATTTAAGTTAAATTAACAGCGAATTCGAGTACTGCATTATTTGTTTGCACAATTCGCACAAGCCAATATTCGCACAAGCTTAATTAAAAGGGCATCACAAATCAATGACACAATGTAACAATGAAAAAAATCTGACAGCACGCACATGGCCACTAAAGAGAAATGCTTAAATCGGTTTGTAGCGGCTTCCGATTTGTAGCGGTAACCTTTGTAGCGGTAACCGATTTATCGAGTTTTATATAGTTAGGTAATATAGCCCATAACTGTAATAGGTTGTCCATTACTGCGTAAAATTATGCTTGTGCGAATAGTGAATTTCAGATTCTAATAGTTTCCAATCGAATTCGAATAGTATATGCAGTCGACGTCCGATTGCAGGTGCGACCAGCAGCACCATGCTGCTGCTGCCGTACCCTCAAAACCCCAATGGCCGCGATCTAGAGCATGCCAATATGTTGCCAGCCGCAGCTTTGTCAAACCTGTGGTCAAACCTTGCTGCGTTAGTTCATGTGTTGTTCTGTCAGCTCTACGGCAGATTGTGTGCTGCTGCACACCATCTGCAGCATTCGCATTTCCCAATCTTCAGCAGCCACCGCGTTTCTAGCTGTTTGGCGCTGCACTTTTTGTCAAGCGAATTCGCAGAGACAACCGCCTCGCCCAGAGTGGACAGCGTGTGTCACAAACTTCTGTCCCCGAATGTTGCCTTCGACGATCTGCGTGCTGCAGGTGTTTAGATTCCAGCCGAGATAATCTTTGAAAGTTTTGCAGACGCTGACAAAGACCTCGAGCTGCGTACAGAATTGACTGATGACGAAATCATTCGTCAAGTTACGGAGGATTCCGACACCGATATGAAGAGCTGCGCCTATACAGCCAACGAGCTCGCAGTTAACGAGCGCACTGATGATACTGTCGTCAGTGCACAGCGACAGCATGATATTAGCTGAAATTGAGGCAGACATCATCGCGAGAAGTAGAATGCCATGCAAAACAAAATAAGTGACTTTTTTTGCGCCGAAGTGTTGACCAATGGGGTAGCGCTGGCCATGTCGGATTTTTTCCATCTTTTTTACAGAGAAAAAGCCTTTTTTTTAGAGCCATTTAAACAATGCATTGGCTAGATTGGAACGAGAATCTTGCACAACTACTGTGACCCTTTCTGTCAGAGAAAAATACCCGTTAAGGGGGGACGCGGCTTTGGGATCGCGAAAAATGGCAAAAAAATTGATTTTTTGAAACTCAAGTGTTCAGTTTCTGGAACCCTTTTTCTGTCTGGTTCCAAAATATCTACACTGAAAACCGCGCAGAAGTGCTTCTGAAAATTTATTTCACCCACCTAGGTAGCAAAACTTTTTCTGGAAATGGCGAGAAAACGGCGATTTAAAAAAAAATTATAGCTTCGCGATGCTTGGGCTGGGAGCCGGCTTCTTGGGCTCATCGGAAAGAGCATTTCTCCGTGTAACTTTCCCGCCTCAGCTGGCTCCTCCCTTTAATAACAAGCGAGCAAAAAGCAAATGTTTGAAGGTCGTTTTGAGGCCCTTGATTGGTCGTGGCCGCCATGTTGCCTCAGCTCGCCTCGCCATTGGCCCGATGCTCGCTCCGGGAGATCGTCGTCTGCTGCTTGTGCGTCGCGAGGACATGGCTCTCGAAAATCGCCAGTTTTTCGTGACGTGTTCACGGCTTGATAATCACTTAAGATATAACTACGCTTTAGTTACGAGCAGTAAGCGGATGGGCCATCAGGTTACTACGAGCGGGAGCGCAGTCTACGAGCACCACGCGTCATCGGAGTTGTCTTTAGCCCTAACTCCGCCGACAGCGAGACTGCGGGCAGGAACGACGCGCTAGCGCATTTGTGGTGACGTGCTTTTTCGCAAGCAACGATGCTGAAAGTGGCGGCACGATCTGATTACTACGAGTGGCCGCGCCGGATGCACGATCAGATTACTACGAGTGGGCGCGCAACGGTCTGCGAGTGCGGCGCGTCATCGGAGTCGGCTTTAGGCCCAACTCCGCTGACAGTGTGACTGCGGGCAGGAACGAAGCGCAAGCGCACTCTTGGTGACGTGCTTCTTCACAAGGAATGTATCGCATCACTCGCTAGCTCCTCTGAATCACGTACGGGCATTTTACGCATCGCAGCACAGTCAAGCTCGTCACCACCCCCCCTCCTTTCACTGCCAAGGATCGCTCGGAACAGCGGCTAGCAGTTTCGGGCATCGTCATTTGAAAATGCGATGCCAAGTGCAGTGCGTGCCGATTTTTCGTCTTCGTAGTTACACATTTCGCGCATCGTCGTCGACCGCCGCCGGCAAGTGCATTACGCGCCGGCTGCACTGTCCACGCGGCCGCGCACCCCACGGTCATATGAAGCGCTGTCAATAAGCTTTTGTGATGCGATTCAGACGTGCTTGGAGCCGTGCTTGATATCGCCACGAACATCTACGAATGTTCCGAGGTTAATGAATTGCTGTAGATTAGAGTTTCCACAACCGGCTGTATGATGATGCGTTTCACAGCTAGAGCGGCGAAAGAGTATGTATGAATCAGGGGCACGAATTTTTATATGCCCATTTCATGTCATTAAGGGGGGATGCTACACCTTCCAAAAACTCTTTTATTTTTGCGAGTACCTCAGTCAAATTTGGAGAGCCTATGTAGATTTTACTGCTGATTTCAAAAATCTAATTCTTTTTTTGCTGTGACAATTAGTTTTAAAGATATAATGAACTGCGACTTTATCAATTAAGGCCTAATTAGCTAATTAACTGTAACTTGGATATTGATGTGCAACCTATAGAACCAATTCGGTATGTTCACAGTGTGCAATAAAGTATAAATCATTGTTCTGGGCTATTTCGAAGCAAAGTTGTGGGATGTTGAATATGACATGAAAAATTTCCCCATCTACACTTGAAACAAAAGATCCATTTAGAGAATTTTCTCCAAAAATTATTACAATAAAACTTACTTTACGACACATCCCCTGCATTTATCTTCGAAACAAAAAAGAAATCGTAATGATAACCCAGATAGAACAAGAGATATTGCTCCGGCATAATGGGAAGCACATGAAAATTGTCGTTTTGAGAAATCGAGAAAAAACGTGGGCACACATTTTTATTGCAGAAGATGCAACAAGACAACCTCAAAACGCACCAGAAGCATAGTCTGAATGCATTCTGTGCTCACGCCTCCTCTTCACTAGCTTCCGGAGTTCCAATGAGGCTGTTCTTTTCTTGTTGGAGACAATGCTGCGACGGTGGTCTTTTTCTCTCGCTCTCCTGGCACCAGTACTTGTCGCATTCATGTCCATTTCACCTAAGATTGCCGTTGCAGAATTCAAATTGCCCGTGTTGAAGCGCAGCACTGCTTCTGCAACAGCTGCTTCAACAGCGAACAGGGACGCATGGTGCTCCTTGGGGGCCAAACTCCAGATTACCGAATGTAGGCTCTCGTTGGAGTTCTGCGTTTTGCCGCGTTCGCACCTCTGAAGCAGGGCTCTTTCCGAAAGCCGGGTATAAACCGGTAGTAATGCCTCTGCCACGTCTTTCGGTAGATTGTAGGCATGCCTGGGGTCGGGCTCACCCTTTGCTTTTGCGGCATTGTGCCGACACCATGAAGTTTCACCAGCTGGGCACAGACTGTGGTCCGAGCATTCATCAGTGGAGGTGACGTGGCGGTATGTAGCCATCACAGCCTTTTGCATCTCGCCCACGTCACCTTCATGCGATTTCAGAGCCCGGCCATAATATGTGCTCAGCCTGGTGATCAGCTCACCTGTGAGCCTGCCTTTCCCACCAAGGCCTCTTTTCCCATCGCACTTTTGTTTCTGCACCAGGTTTCTCAATGCGGTGCCCATCCGTTTCTGTACATGATTAATACAGTCTTCCTTCTGCACGTCAATGTAACCATACACCTTGGCGTCTTGTATGGCGCAAAATGTCCTAGAGTCTCCATCAGACAGCATAGTTGTGTAGCACAGGCCATGGCGTTCAAGCGACCTCTGAAATAGAATTAGAGCCGCCTCCACTTCCATTTGCCCCGCTTTGCTGTTCGTATTTTTTTGGCATTTGTGGTTAGCCTTCCATTCTTGATAGCCCTCACTACTAGGCTTTGGGCCCACCTCGCAGCCTAGGCAAAAGTTGGAAAGAACGACGTAGTCCAACACGTAGCCACTAAATAATTCGATAACTGTGCCCACGCCGATGTGGGAAGAATGGCCTCGCGTCTTCCACGTGCCGTCGTAGCTAACGGCAATATTGCCCCGGTGGCCGAAGCACAAGTCATCATAAATTGTTCTAACCTTTTTCGCACATTCGCTCATAGCGGACTCAGCCGCTCGCGTTGCAGCGGGTGCCAGTGTGTTCTTCAAATGCCGCTGAAACGTCTTGTGGTGCATACCGCGGTGTGAGATGCCCATTGTTGCGAAAATATCGTTCATTTTCGTTTGGCCGTTGCCGGTAGCCACCATCGCCCTCGAAGCGAGAAGATTTACTTCAAACGGATTGCACGTTTTCGTGCCATTCGCGCGGGGCGAAGTCCATTCATTCGCGATCTCGCCGCACCTTTCACACTGCACTAGCACTTTCACGGCAAGTCCGTAGTCCCGATCCCCTCTGACGATCGTAGCCGGTCCGTGGCAGGCTTTGCAACACAAGGCACCCATTATCGCGTTTAGGATATCTAGATGCATAAGCAGATAAGGAACAGCGTGGTCCGAGTCCTGCGCGGTTGCCTCGCTACAACTCGCGGTGAAAAAGTCAATTTTCCGTGCAGTTGCTGGCGCCGATGAAAGCCGGTCGAGCGTCGCTTTCTCCCGGGCATGATTTTCTTCAACTTCGGCGTTTGTCACCACCTTGGCGTCGATTCGTAGTCGTCCGGAGTTCGCTTCACCGTCATCGTCGTCGGAGGCAACGCGCTCGGTCGCACCATCGCTGAACGGCCGCGGAGCGTCGACACATCGTTCGTCGAAGTCAACCAAGGACTCTGATGACTTCGTAGACTTTCTCCCACGACCTTTGCGTTTCCTGCGACCAAATGCGTGCACGGTCCGATACTTTTTTGCGTTTCCAGGCATGGCGATACGATCTGAAGCTTCAGAGTGCTCTGCCGATTTCGAGGCGTCACAGCGGTAACCCTTTCAAAATGGCGTCGGGTCGCGTATGCAGGCGCAAGCCGCGAGCTTCCAGCCAACCGGAAAGCGCCATTTCAGTCACGTGCGCCGTTTAGCCAATGGCAGTGAGCGCGGCTCTTTGTCTTTGAGGCCCCGTTTTTCGAGCCGGGGAAACGCTCAATGTTGCTTACTGAATAAAAAAAACAGCTGAAAACGCGTTCTTTCAAACAAGACCAAAATGGCGCCGATCGAGCGTGTAGTTCCCGCGTATCGTAGAGCCGAAACCTGCGCTATTCGCCCTCAATTTAAAGGGCAGGACGCCCGTTTTCGGTTTTTTAAAGTTGAATAACGATAAAAGTTGATGGTATTCGGCTATGAAATTTTGTAAATAGGTGCGCAATGATGTCGGGAACGCGAAAAGAAGGTCCGCGAAAACTCGATTTTTTGGCTGATTTTCGGTCCCGAAGTGCCGCGTCCCCCCTTAATTATACTGCTAGAAATTCCCGTGCCACCAGTCTTCTGCCCATAACTTTGTTATTTAGAAAGAAGGCATAGGCCGTCATCGTGTGATCCATTTTTCTGATGCAATAAACCTCTCTCCAAATAAAGAAAAGTTCAGTGAATATTTGTAATCAAGTACTTAATTACACTAATTACAACTTCAGCACAAAAAAGTATGTGTAATGATTTCAGTATGTGGTTTTATTCAATTACAATCTTTTCTGTCATACCTATCACACCACTCCTTCATACAAAGAACTTGGTTTGAAATCCATACTTGTTCTTTGTAAATCATGAAAAGGAGTAAATCATGAAAAGAAGTCAAATATCACAAGACAAACCTGAGATCACAATTTTTAGGTGTCTTAGAGACGTAAAGAAAAGTTGAAACTTTAAACGCAGTTTTCTCAATACTGTTTTTTTTTTTTTACATTATGCTCAGCCCCTCGACACGGTTCAATGAAGAAATAATTTGTTTCTCGTAAAGCGTTTGTGGTATCGCTTCAAAATTTTTATGGAAGCACTGTGAGGTCATTCTTAGTGTCTGTGCCAATTTTCATCAATATCCAACTAGAAACAAAAAAGTTCATTGAAAAAAGCCTGTCGAAAACTTCGACAGGCTTTTTCTCACAAGTGTGTTTTGGACATTGTGCACTGCTTGTGGAGAGTAGCACGGGAGTGACTGGACCGATTTTGGTTCCGTTTTTTTTTTTTCCTGAATCCCTGAACACTGCTTGTGGGTACAGCAATCTTCAATTTCTGTTTTATGGCCCTGTTATTTTTCTATACGATGATTTGTCCATGCCACTGTTTCTGACAATGTGTGTCGGCAGCGATGATGATATCTAAAAGAAAAGAGAGAACTTATTAAAAAATTCTGAGAGTGTCATTCCCTGTAGCTTTCTTTTGAGTAAAGATCAACACCATTCGCAGCTTCCTGGCATATTTTGTTGCAGCGCTAGGCTTTCCACGAGCAGACCATGTAATTGGATCGTGTAGCATTATGCAACTTGAGAACTACTGAAGCTATCATGGTGAAACTGCACATTTCCCTATTCGAGACACTTATGAGTATGCATGCCAAATTTCATTGCTGTAGGTTAACAAATAAAATAGTTTTTTTTTTCAATGCCACTTCCCCCCTTGAATAAATGGGTTTCGCGTGGATTCGTTTTTATGGACTGCCCGATTTTCCACACTTTCGTGGTCCTTTGAGGTTCCGGGAAGTCTGATGTCGACTGTATGACGTATTATATAGAAAAATTAACTTGTTTTTCATGACTCCACTATACTGCACAATATATACATATATACAGATTTATAATTAGGACAAGACATGTGCAAATGTCATTATTTTGGTTCAAAGAAAGAGGAAGCAACCTTAAGTAGTAGCAGGATTTGATTTTCAGTAAAATGCAAGCCATAACCAAGTGATTATAAAATTTACAACACTTATAGCATAAAAGCGGGTATAAGAAGCTTTCAAATTAATAAAGGAAGAATAGATCTGAAGGTAAAATCTTCATTTAACCGCACTGTGCAACTTCACAGCAGTGAGGATTTTGCCTGAAAAAGTGCATTCACAGTGCAGCATCCCTCCACTGCAATGAAACCACTTTTACAGAGAGTTATATGCAGACTAAAATACATCTATTCGTTCATTTCGAATAGTTAGAAAATTCCAATAACTTAAGTTCGAATCGAAGCGAAGTAGAATACATTATTTTCATTCAAATACGTTAATATTCATTCGAATATTCAAAGTGCTCGAATATTCACACAAGACTGGATAAAATGAAAGCCAGACCATTTGACGAATCTCGTGGCATTACCTCTCTGCTTTTATGCCAATGTGATGGCGCAATATTTCGAAGAATTCTCTCAAACTTTGGCCATTGTTGCATGGTAAATGTTCTTGAAGATGGCCAACATTTGTCAGCTCTAAAATAAAGTGCTGTTAAAATTTCACTGGGCATGATTGATATGTGAGGTTAAAAGTCCCAAAAAATCCATATGATGAGAGACGCCATAGTGGAGGGCTTCAGAAGTTTTGACCTCCTGGGGCTCTCTAACGTGCACCCAAATCTGAGCACACGGGTCTACAGCATTTTCGCCTCTTTCGAAAATGTAGCCACTGCAGCCGGGATTCGATCTTGCGACCTACCTCAGGGTCAGCAGCCTTGGCCACTAGACCACTGCAGCGGGGCAATTCACTGGGCTCGAGAATATTACCCCAAAATACAAGTCTTTGCAGGGAGCCAGTACGGTCATTTACTGGCAATGTTGCCTGCCATGTTTCTGGCGCTTTTATGCATAGCTGCAATATCTGTGCTGTTGGGGATTTGTGGGTATACTCTGCTTACCTGCAGGTCATTGCACGGTGCCGCAAAGGCTGCTGCGTCGCCACCCAGTTCCTTGTAGTGGTCTCGCACATCGAAGCCCAGGCTGAAGAAGATGTTATTCCAGATGAACATCTGCATCCTGCAAGGACGCAAGTGAGTGCACAGTGAAGGTACTGCATGGAGACTGTGTGACACGCGTCAATGGCTGATGAGGTGTACACCTGTAAATGCAAATGCTGGCTCACATCAAAATGATGTGAGAGCTCAAGTAACCAAGGAGATGTGCACACAAAAGCAGCATCTTACAATACAGTGAAATCTCGTTAATGTGAACTCTTAATTTTGATGCCCTGGTCCCAGCACATCACTGAGTACTCCCATGAGGGGAAAACCCGATAATTCGAAAGTGTTGGTATCCGGTACGACCAAATCGAACTAGGAGCCCATGGTTTTTATCACTCCACACAGAAGTCAGCCAAGGTTGATCACAATGTCTTGTGAAAACCAAATGCAACCAAATTTACTCGAAATGTGAAACAACAAAACAGCAGCATTTGGCAATGAAAATTCGGATGCAGCTAAAGGCCTTAAGCAAGCTGCAAACGATCACAGAGGCTCAACAGAACGCGAGCAAATGCAAATCAGTCATTATTACTTTTAAGATGATTGCGTTGACTATGCCATGTAAATAAACATGAATTGGAGCAGAAATAGCACTATATATTTCACATCAAAGCACACTGCTCACTTAAATGCATGTCTGCACTTATTTCTGGTGTACGATTGACCGATCACTTCATTCTCTTCACTGTTCGAGCTCCTTGAACTGGACTTACGAAGTCATCTGCCACAGATGCGTAACAGTGCCTAATCCACGATAACGAGTCTTGAGGTGACTCGTTTGGGTTTTGCCCACACAGTGTGGCACAATGTCTATTTATTCTAGTGCTACCTGCTAATTTGGACAACTGTTCAGTCGCCTTCAAATTCAAAACAAGCTTCTTACAGTATTGTGACACAGCCCAAGCAACGAGCAATGATAAAGAGAAGGGGAGAGGGGGATGAAGTAGAACAGAAAATTTCATATATACCGCGCACGGAGTTTTCTTATGCTTACCTAGAGAAAAAAGCTGGTGTTGTGAGCTGTTGGACGCTTTTGAATGCTGGGATATGCGAGCTCTGAATTAGGCTTAGATTTGTACCGTTCACGAGGAGACCGAACACCTCGAAGATGTGTCTGGCTTCAACGCATTCCGTTCGACAAAATGATTGATTTTGAACAGACAGAGCACGCAGTAAGCTATTTCTTTAAAATTGCACAAGACAAGTTTTATTTAGCATTGGAAACTTTTGTGTCTATGTTTCTTTGGCGCCCATGACAAACAATGTCACCATGCAGCTCCTCCCATAATGTGAGCAGTGCATTCTGCTGTAGCTCGTGCGAAAGCACAAGCAGTCGAAAAAAAGCCATTGTTTTCAATTTGGGAAATAATCTGCTCGTGCACATTTTTTTTCTCTCTTCATTTCCAACTATTCCCGCGATAACGAAAGTCCCGCTACAACGAAGTTTTTTTGATCCTCGTGAATTTCGTTGTGGCGTAGTTTGAATATACAGCGCGCCCGCTTATAACGAACCTGAGCGTGACGCAGCACCCGTTCGCTGTATCCCGAAGTTCGTAGTAAATAAAACGCAGCTTTTAAAAAAGTTGCGAGTGAAAACAAACTTTTTTTGCCCCAAAAAGTTCGGGATGCACGTGTTTCGAAGAACAGAAGCGATAAGGGCGGTCTCGAGTTCATGTAAAACGGCAGGGTGATCGTTCGCCAAGGCCCGTGGCATAAGCTGCATGAGGCACTGGCTCCAAAGCTTGGTCGTTCTCGCAATCCGATTCCTCCAAATCACTCTCGCCACGAACTTCATTCACTATGCACTAATCCGTGCATGGTTCCGCAGTGTCGGCATCATCGTCGGCCATAATTAAACCATAGCAACAAATGTCCCACCCGCTCTCCCAGGTCAGAGTCGACGACGCGCTGCCACGAATCCCCGCCGCAGTGGTTCTGTTCGGAAGCTTCAGGCTCGGCATCGGGCCCGAGGTCGACGAAGTCTGCCTCGCAAAAACAGTTTCGCACGCATGTAGCCGTCACCGCCGCCCATGAAATATTCACCATCTCCAAAGCTGAATACCGGGACGCCCGAAGCGGCAAGTTGGCTGCCAGGTGGTCAACAGCTATGAGCAAGTGCTCCGCAACGCGGCACCTAATGCGCGGATTACGCTCAAGCCAAGCGGTCACACTTCCGACGTTTTGTTGAGTGGCACGAAAAAGCGTGCTAGTCCTCCCGTTGGCCATCATGACCACACGCACACACCAAGAGCGAGCAAGACGCGCGCACGTGACCCACATGCCAGAGCGCGTGGAACAGCTCTGGGCCCGTTTCCCGTCAGAAAACGAAACTAATTCGAGCAAGCGTGGCGGGCGTCGCGAAGCGGTGTGGACGAGCGAAGGGGTTGTGATCAAGAGAGGTGAGCAGACTTGCGAGAGAGGGGCAAGGAGTTGCGATAAAGGGAGGGGAGAATGCGGCTGGAGGGCGACCTTGAAAACCAAAACACACGGGAAGGAGGCAGGTTGGGTAGCTTGTTTGAAAGGTCCGCGAAACTCGCACGTATAAAAACTTGGAAAGAGTGCATGGCCGCCTAAATCTGTGCGAGCGGTGGTGTTCAATGAATCAGCGGCCGTGGTCAAAAAATCGTTTCGTTGCACCGGTGGGTTTGCGTGGCCGCACGAACTTCCAATAATTCGCGATTCGTTCCACCCAAATTAACAGCAGTTTTCGCACTTCCGCATGCGCGCGGAAGGCATGCTGAGCCGAGCGTGAAGTGAGCCAAGTCCCAAACACGAAACGAATCGCAAGTTATCATAGTCGGTGGTGTAGCGTACTCGCGTGCACTAGACGCAGACTATCGGATACAGTCTGTGGCCGAGGATGTTGGCAAATGGTCTGGTCACTGCAGGCTGGGGATGCCAACGACAGTACTAGCGATTAAAAACAGGGTAGATGGCCGACAAGTCTTTGAAAAATAGGTGGCAGTGTGAAAACACGGGCCTCGTCTGGCGATGCGGGGTGCTCAGAGTAACAGGGGGACAAAGGACGGAGGGGTGCAAAAGGAAAAGCGGTCGGGGAGAGCGGCAACTAGAGGGGCGCGGAGGCAGGGTCGGCGTTTAACAATAAGAATGTATGGACACCTCGCCGATGCCTGATCTGTGGTCGAAATTAGTTTCCCGGGAAATCGGCAGACCGCTGACTCCGTTCGCTGTAACCGATCAGGGGCGCTCGGAGACGTTCGTTGTAAGTGCGACTTTGTGCCATTGATCTAATGTATATTTTCACGGTCACGCGGATATTGTTCGTTTTAAGCGGGGCCGTTATATGTGGGCTCGACTGTATACAGAGTTAGGAATGTACCTTTGTAATGAATTTTCGGATACAGTAGAATCTCGATGATATGAGTTCAAATAGAGCCCGCAAAATAGCCGTATCATCCTGAATTCGCATAAACCAAAAACAAGTTAAAGCATATCATGAAGGTGAACAAGAACCTTATTGGGGTCAACTACTTCTTGCTGAAAAAAAGTTCATGATGTTCTTTTGAACTTCCCTGCTTTCACTGCCTTTCAATAAAGTCCCGTGGTTTCCTCACTCATGCTGCTGGCATTATAAGGCGCTTTGACACTTCGCATCAGAGAGTGTGAAAGCAGCAAAACTTATTAAATATTCATTCGCTTTGACACTTAAGTGGCCAGGAAAACGCGCCACGAAGCCGATACGAAAAAAATTACCGTATTTACTCGATTCTACCGCGCCCTCGATTGTAACGCGCACCTGATTTCCACCGCGGGGAAAAAAAAAAAAAAAAAAAACCCCGTAAGACATCGATTGCACCGCGCACCCATTTTTCTCGCTGGCCCGCACGATCACACCACTCGAAAAAAACGACTCCTTTCGGGAGCGTCTTCCATTTATATATGAGGTAGGGGCGAAGCTTGTGCCCATCTGACGTGTAACAGAGCATTGTCGTCACTGTAGTTTTACCGTGGACCGATGTCAGCACGCGAACTTGCTTCGCCTCCTTCTCGACGGTTGTGGTGACAGGCATGTCGAAGTAAAGAGGCGTCTCTTCGGCATTCCCGATTTGCCCAAGCAGGTAGCCATTGTTGTGCCGCAAGTTTAGGACGAACCTCTAAAAACTGTGAAGCTTTTCTTCGTACTCTTCCGGCAACTTTTCACATATGGCCGTTCGCCTTCGGAGAGAAAAGCCTTTCCTCTTCATAGAGTTAGTTAGCCAGCACCTGCTCGCTTTGAACTGGCTCCACGTTAGCCCTTTTTCTAAGGCTAACTGCATATCCCGCACTTGGAGCAGTTCTGTCGTGGCGCTCGCCGCTCAAGCACATACTCGGCGAGCAGCTCTTCAATTTGCGGAAACCGACCCTGCTGTGACCCATTGAAGCCTTTACATGAAGCTTTGCTGTCGACAATCTTCTGCTTTTGTTTCCGCCGGTCCCGCACGCACGTTTCGGGAACTCCGAACGACCGCGATGCGGCCCGATTTCCGTCCGTTTCTGCACACGCGCTGACTTTTCTTTTAAAAGCGGCATCGTGGTGCACTCGAGTTTTTGGAGTCGGCCCTTCCACGCCGTCGATACTAATGCACTACTAGATGACCAACTCCTCAGCACACGTACGAAGCGCCGCACACGGGAAACACATAGGCAGAAATGGCCGACGCACGTAGGGTGCGGCCATTTTAGATTTGCCGATGGCAATAGATTGACCGTAATTTTTTCGTTCGTACTCGATTCTAACGCGCATGCGATTTATGAACTCGCTTAACCGGAAAAAAGGTGCGCGTTAGATTCGAGTAATTACGGTAGTCTAAGAGAATTCACACCAGAGAATTCAAGCGAAAATGCGAGAGTAGCCACAAAACTATGTCTGTACCCGTCGAAAATGTTCACATTCGTTCTGCCCTTCGTATACGTGCCACTGTTGCCATCGCTCGCTGCTTTAGAATTTATTCCCGAGCATTAAAATCCATACCAAAATCCAGTTATTCTTGCAAAGCACTGAAGATAAACAGTTTACACCCTTACAAATGTTGCTTCGGGAGATACGTCAGAAGAAACGACATGAGCAGACGCACCTGCAGAGGCGGCGATGGATTCAACCAGCGGTGCGAAAGAGAGACATGTTATGGCATGCCGACTCGCCGCTGCTGCACTTCGCAACGATCGTAATCTAAACCAAGCTCTCGAACACGTCTTTTTCAAGGCAGTGAGCTTAGCAGTGATGCGTGGTGATGGCGGCCTTGGCCGCTATCTTAAATGTACGGTTGGTTGTTTACAGCATGTGGTTTGAGAGCTAGCGCAGCCGGTGTAGCAAAAGCCGCAGCAGTAAGGTGATCCACTATCGTGTGGCGGCAAAATTGGTCTCAGACAGATTTTTTTCGCGTCGGCCTCGCGGCATCGTTTTCAGACCATTTTTCTGGCTGCGAAGTGAGAGAAACTCCGGCGAGTTTTGCCGCATTCGCTCCCTTCGAGGCCAAGTGTGAACGGGCCTTCCTCCAGCACACGAGCCGCGTTGCACAGCTCGCGTGCAGGGGTCAATCTCCCGTTCGTACCATTCGCAGTTGCTGGGGAAACCGTTTGTATACCACTAAATCGCAGCATATTTTATATAACGCAGTCCATCTGAAGCAACCTTGAAATTTCGCATCATCGCGACTCGCATCAACTTATTTTTGTGTAACATGCAATGTCTTTATACAGAGGTTTGAGTATGTTATTATCCCTAATGGGGATAATGGGCCCCCTTAAAAAGTTTGGATAGACGATGGTGCCAGATATCACTCTACGTATTATTGTGAAAAACCAAAATTCTGCACACTAAGTGCCCAGCACACTCACTTAGTCTCTTCCCCAGGATTGATGGCCATGACGTTGCCGTCGACCACAGCGACAGCTCCTCGTGTGGCAGCAGCCACAAAGTCACTGTGCACCTTGAAGACAGCGCGCTCGCGCAGGAGCCGCTCGGGCAGGGTCTTGCGAGGTAGCTCGCGGGTCGTTTGCAGCTCGTCGTTCCAGTCGCGGGTCTGCCCAGGGATGTGCTCCTCGTAGCCCAGTTTGAACGAGAATGCTGAGGGAAAGAGAAACATGCGTAGGTAATTGCATGAGCATCATTAGCATGAACTGCAAAGTGAATAAGGTTAAACACAAAAAAACACAGTTTCTGCTCTCGGGCTGTGTGAGCCATTTTGCAATAGCCTCAACAACCGATGCTGGTCGGTGTTTTGTCGTCTGACTAAGCATAAGAGTTTGCACACTGAAATGTGGCCACCATGGCTGGCAAATGAACACATGTGTTGTTGTGTGCTTAGCCACTGCACAATGCCATAACACTACTAGCACACAACGATTCTCGCACGTGTGAAGCTCGAGACAGCCAAACTTTTCAGGCCATAGGCACCTTTACTCCACTTCCGACACTACCTTTTCATGTAATGTAAAATTGATGTTGGGAGTGAGAAAATACAGGACTTTCTAAAATGTGACATGCAAGCAATGTACATTAGCTAAAAAACAAGACCTGTAGACTCACCATCCTCCGCACGAATGGAGTCAACATTGTGCTCGGACGTGGGTGCGAGCCACGAGTAGACCTGATACGGTGTGGCTACTCGCTCGAAGGGGTGCCGCTGGGTCCGCTTCTTCTGGATGAGCGCGAAATTGCGCTTGAAGGAGCTGCTCACCTGCAAAGTGCAAGAAGTGGTCGCACAGATCTGAACGTCTTTGTACAAATAACATAGACGAATGTCAGCCTATTACCACATACCGTAATTACTCGGATCCAACGCGCACCTTTTTTCCGGTTAAGCGAGTTCATAAATCGCATGCGCGTTAGAATCGAGTACGAACAAAAAAATTACGGTTAATCTATTGCCATCGCAAATCCAAAATGGCCGCCCCCTACGTGCGTTGGCATGGTGCGTCGGCTATTTCTGCCTATGTGTTTACCATGTGCGGTACTTCGTACGTGTGCTGAGGAGTTCGTCATCTAGTAGTGCATTAGCATCGACGACTTGGAAGGGCCGACTCCAAAAACTCGAGTGCACCACGATGCTGCTTTGAAAAGAAAAGTCATCGCGTGTGCAGAAACGGACGGAAATCGGGCCGCATCGTGGTCCTTCTAGAAACGTGCGTGCGGGACCGGCGGAAACAAAAGCAGAAGATTGTCGACAGCAAAGCTTCACGCAAAGGCTTCAGTGAACCACAGCAGGGTCGGTTTCCGCAAATTGAAGAGCTGCTCCGCGAGTATGTGCTTGAGGAGCGAGTGGCACAGCGGCCCATGACGACAGAACTGCTCCAAGTGCGGGCTATGCAATTAGTCTTAGAAAAAAGTCTAATGCGGAGCCTGTTTAAAGCGAGCAGGTGCTGGCTAATTAACTATATGAAGAGGAAAGGCTCTTCCCTCCGAAGGGGAACATGCATATGCGAAAACTTTTGCGGAGAAGTACGATGAAAAGCTTTACAGTTTTCAGAGGTTCGTCCTAAACTTGCGGCGCAACAACGGCTACCTGCTTGGGCAAATCTGGAATGCCGATCAGACGCCTCTTTACTTCGACATGCCTGGCACCACAACTGTCGAGAAGGGGGCGAAGCAAGTTCGCGTGCTGACATCGGTCCACGGTAAAACTACAGTGACGGCAATGCTCTGTTACACGTCAGATGGGCACAAGCGTCGCCCGTACCTGATATTTAAATGGAAGACAATCCCGAAAGCAATCGTTTTTTCGAGTGGTGTGATCGTGCGGGCCAGCAAAAAAAAATGGGTGCGCGTTGCAATCGATGTCTTACGTTTTTTTTTTTTTTTTTTCGCGGTGGAAATCGGGTGCGCGGTAGAATCGAGTAAATACGTTAGTTCACATGCTACGTTAGTCCAATACGCATGCTAACATGCCAGTTTTGACAACTGGCTATTGTAAGTGATGATATATTTACAATGATATATTTTGACGATGCAGTTTATAAGTAGTTTACGCCGATAGTGTAGGAGCTAGATTGACCCATCTTTGTGCACAATTTTAGAGCTGCTTGAACAAGGAGGGGCTGAACCTTTCGACTAGTTGCTTACCTGACTCAGCAAGTCGACGAGGGAGTGATAAACATGCTTCGGTGAACAGGGCCGTGGGTTGAATTCTTCCTCTGTGGACCTGCAAAAACAAGTTAGTAACATGGTGTGTCAAGTTTCAGCAACAAATGAGACGCTCAGCAGAGAATGGATGTAGTACTACAATAGAGACATTGACTTGCTAATCATAATGTGAGTGAAAGAAATTGAGTTGCCCAAGAGTTCTCTTATAAGGATTCAAAAATATTCAAGCACAAGGCGATGTACATTCGTTATGCTGTCAATACAGAGTGATTTAAAATCATACTGCACATGATTGATTGATATGTGGAATTTAACGTCCAAAAACCACTATATGATTATGAGGGACACAATCATACTGCATATAACAACATCTGCTGGCGTAGATTATCTTGATATCCCGCCAGACCTGCACAATCTCGTGCAACCTACTCTAACGCCATAAGGCCAACTAACGAGGGAAGGAGATGGGGACTGCAAAAAAGCAAGCAATGCAGAAAAACATCAAGTAGCAAGGCCTACCCATGTCTCAATATATGTAGGAGTTTCTACCAGGTAGGTATTTTTTTGTGTGTGCCAACAAAAGCAGTAACCACGTACACCTGTGAATAATTGCAGGAAAAGTAGTACAGTCGCCGACCGATTTTTCGGACCTGGCGGGGACCGAAAAAAAGTACGAAAAATCGAACAGTCCGAAAAATTCGTTTTCGCCAAAAATCTGAAGTTTATTGCATCAGGCAGGTTTAAAAAAGTCCTTGATGCTGCCTTGCCTCAAACTACGCTTGGAGGCAATTTGGTTTGCCCGTATTTGCGCCACGGTGACATCGTCGCCGTAAACGCTCGACAAAATTGTCACCGCGTTGGCGATCTCCGACGGCTGCGTGCGGTCGTCGTTGTCATCCGACGACAACGACGACCGCCATCCGGCGTCGACCGTCATCCAGCGACATCTAGCTGCGAACGTCCACTCTCTATTAGCTTGATTATGGCAGCTTTCTTCTCCATCGTCAGGGTCGTATACTTCCCACGCTTCTTCACACCACCTGGCTCCCGCGATGGCACAGATAGCGGAGCCATGGCACCGAGAACACAAAATTCGATGCCGCAGATAGCCGCTGCGAAGCACACAACGTCTCGACGCTACGCGACACAACACGTGCAGAATGGCGACTGAAAAAAGCTGCAACGACAATAAAAGAATCCTTCTTTCGCCTCCTCCCCGTGCGATGTGATGACGATAGTGCTGACCGAAGACGAAAAAACGGCATCCATCACCGCGCCTTTTAAAAAGCAAACACGGCCTCCGAAACTTAAAACATGGCGTGCGCATTTTAATCTCGGAGGCAGGAAAGGCATTTGAAGACCAAGCTTAGCCAAGCCGACAAAAAATCCAACATGGCGGCGTTCACAATGGCTTGGAGCGTGGCACAAAACGAGCGATTTAGTCCGAAAAATCGAACTTTCAGGGGCAAATTCGCCCGAAAAATCGGTCGAAACAATGCATTAGCTCTATGGAATCCCTGACGGTGCATTTATGAAGTCCGGAATATCCAACAAGTCCGAATTTTTGGAGTCCGGAAAATCGGTCGGCGACTGTATATCGCAAAACTGCTCTCAAGTTGGAGTGTACCGATATTTCCATATAACGAATTCCTTCTTTCTGGCTGAGGTGGTTTGTATACAGTAGAACCCCGCTACAACAAACGACGCATCAATGAAATTTTCGCTACAACGAAAACTTCACGGTTCCCCGTCAGCTGTCCATAGGAGTCCATGCATAAATATTGTCGCCACAACAAACACTTTTTCTTCTGCTGTCCCGCTACAACAAAATTTCACGATGAAATTCCAAGCTCAGATATTTATTACTACAGTCAACTGCCGATTTTTCGGACCCTATAGGGAGCGAAAAACCGTCCGAAAAATCGGGCAGTTCGAAGAAATGAATGCAAGCAAAAAAACGCATTATTTTACTGATAATTTTCAGTGCAAGAAAAAAAAAAGCACCATTTTGCTAATATTTCTCAATGCAAGAAAAAAACGCACCATTTCATTGATATTTCTCGGATCAAGAGAGTCAAGGTCGAAGTAACAGACTTCCGGAACTCTGCCAAAGCATCAGTGGGGTGGCTCTGAAAAGAGCCGTTAAAAAAAATGCATGCAGCCGACAGCGGGTGCCGTCAGGGCAGCCGGTGTTAGAGCTGTAGCGGCTTGAAAAACTTGTTGATCCTTGTTTGAACGGCGTTCCACTTGCATGTGATCACATTCGCCTCGATCTGAGCAAGGGTCATGTCATCACTGTACACCGATGACAGCGTCATCAATGCTCGCATCAATTCGGTGTTCGTAGGTGGTGCAAGCGTTAGTTCCTCATTTTTGACATCGGAGTTGTCTGAACCGCCATAACCTGACTGACTATTTCGTCGCCGGCTAGCTCTGCGCAGAAGACGAGCTCATTGTCAGCGTCGACGAACCGCTCAAAAGTTATTTCCGTGGGCATGGAAGCACCAGCAGAGCGGAGGTCGTTGATAATATCGTCCATGAGAGGGCACAAGTTAGGAAATGCCGAACTCCTTGCTCACGTCAGCCAGCGATCGGCCACTCTTCACTAACCTAATAATGGCGGCTTTCTTCTCCATCGTTAACTGACGGTACTGTTTTTCACGCTTCGATGCCATCGGCGATGATGACGAAGGCGGAGCGGGGGCCATCGCAGGCAAGCGAAATCCTCACGATGTGAACAAAGGAGTTTGCTGACGAGCGTCGAAGCACCTAGGCTTAGCGTTGCAGAGCACACTTCACACGATCGCACAACCACGCACTAAGCTAGCCAAACACCATGTGGGCTGCGTAAACAAAACTGCACGACGGCAGGTGACGGTGCCTCGGGTACTCCGAAGGTAGCGCTGGTAAACACTCAAGATAGCCAGCGTGGCTAGACCAAATCGGTGTGTGACAGTTAGTTCTAGTTCGAAGTGGTGAAACGCTTCGCAAAAGCGCGCAGCGCTTTTGCGAAGCGAAAGTGACACAATAAGTAAAACATGACCGTGTTGCCTTCTAGACGGCAGTAGACATTGCTTTATTTTCAGAGGCAGCAAGGTTTAAAACGGCCGCCGCAGTGAGCGCTCGACGCCGACACTGTTTGGGCAGCACAGGAGGAGAAAACAGGAGAGGACCGAGAACCAGCTTTTCGGCTCAAGTCACAAGCATCTGTCTAGAAGGGGCGTTGGCCCTGCTTTTGCCATTGGCTTGCTTTTGAGCGACAGACGATCCGAAACTGAAGCTCCGTCGCTCAGTTCCGAGTGTTTTTTTTTTCATGCAGCTGTGCGGAGCGATGCCTTTTTCAATGCCAATGCATATCATTTTGTGCGTGCTTGGTCATTGTGGTAACTAATCAGAGCGGCTGTTTGTTTGCATTAACAAGATCAGTTAGCCGAGCGTAGTGGATGATAATGGCATAGAATAAGGCAAAAGTCACCGCTCTACGATACCCTGCCTTGTGGGAATTGAGGCTAGCCCGATGCATTTGCGCGGGCTTTGCCGCCTTTTCTGCCGTTCTCATGCCCGACATGTCTCCCCTCCTTTGCTGTCTGCTGCGCTGGGAGAGTGGAGTGGCGTTTAACCTCTTCACCCGGTAGCGGATGTTGACTGTGGCGCCGCGTGCGGAGTCTCCCGAGATGTTTTTGCGCGCTGTGTCGGGAGCGGGAGATACTCTCCGGGACTGCAGACGGTGAGCCACGCAATCTTTTCCGGCCGTCGACTCCCGTCGCTCGTCGGACTTCGCTGACGGCGCCTCGCGCCCGAGGCGAACGCTCACCTTTTGTTATCCCCACTGCGTACACATGGCCGAAGGGCGGTACGGTGTCCTAGTGCGTGGCCTAGCTACGCCAACCCGCCTCCCTTCGAAGCCAACGCGAGCGCCTTTGCCCTCGCTCGAGCAACCGGGCCTTCGTCCCGGAGTCTCCGTGGATCATTTTTACCGCGGAGACGTGCTCGTGGCACCCTGTGTAGTACTTTTTTGCCCGTGGCGTGGATAAGCCTATTTGCTTTCCCGCCCCGCCTTTGCAACAGGCTGTACTGCGTTCGGTGTTGCCACAATAAAGTGTTGCGACTTTGAGCAGTATCGTGTTCTCGCCATGGCGACGGTTAACACATGCTCTGCGGCTCGCTAAGACCAGACCCACGCTAGTGGCCGTACTCCATCGGGATACGCAAACACTACAGCCTCCATCTCAACATCGTCGGATACACTTTGACAGTGGAGAGCTGCTGGTGTTAACGTGTTAATGCAAACTGCTTGGTTCGTTCACAAAAGTGGCTGTAGGCGTTGTTTCAGTGTGTTTATCACCATGGCCTCGCTATGCATGGGTGAGAATCACGCGTGATGCTGCTGGGAAAGAGTAGGAAGTAGCGGACACTTTTTAAATTTTGAGAATAAACGCTCCTTTGTTTTGCTAGCTAAGATCCGCTATGTGTTTTCGACTTCACTACTACAAAATTTTCGCTTCAATGAAGTTCTTTCTGCGCCCCTTCAGTTTCGTTGTAGCGGGGTTCGACAGTATAGCTAAATCAAACTGCACATAGATGCTACTACACTGTGCAAATACAACCGAATGAATGTACAGGGTACAGGTACACTTTTAGTTCACATTCTAGTCAGCCCAGTTAGTTTGTGGGTACCTTTACAACAGCCTGTGCAATCTGCAACCACCTACATAATGAATACAAAAGTTAAATTGCAGATTATGTTAAAGTTGTAGTACAACAGTACAGTGCAAAGACATAGTGCATCAAACTTACTCGTTGATATAAAAGCCTCTCGTAGACGCTGTGATGTGGTACCTCTTGTCTTCGAGCGTCACAACATACAGATACATCAGGTCCCCTGCACGAAGTGAAAATAACGCATAAAGCATCAGGTGGCAAGACTGTTGCGCACAATCCAATGAGGAAGTACATCGTAGAACGGTAGCTTTGCCTAGAGTGAATACACGTTCACAACGAGTGTAGATCTGGAAAGCGGATGTGGATTATCCGCTTAAGCAGAAAATCCACGGTTACTTCAGATTGTGCCCAGCCCAATTTTCTCCCTGCAGAAATGCGCTTTGACCACAGCCAATCAGGGTTCGAGACACGCACGACCAGTATTTACCGCAAGATGGAAACAGGTCTACACAAATTCGTGAATTGCTCTGCCCGCGCGGCCCCACGTGCAGATGGCAATGCGGCTTGTCTGAATAGCCATGCGCGCTCGCTGTTTCTCCGCTTTGAAAATATGCTTGCCCCCTCATGTGCGCTACGTTTGGTGTGCACGCACCTCGAGGATTCAGAGTTAAATAAAATACCCAGCCCCCTTTTTCTGGTTACACAAAAGCTTTGCACCCCCCCCATCCACAAATTGAGTGCAGCAACTCACCATGCAGCTTTCTTGGCCCAGGTGGGGGGTTCCAACCACTTGTGGTCAACACTTTCAAGGCTTGATAGCTCTGCAAGCAACAATGAGAGGGGTAAGGCAGCTTTCATGAAAAACCTCTCACTGCAGTCATTGCATTGATTGATTTGTGGGGTTTAACGTCCCAAAATTACCATATGATTATGAGAGACACCGTAGTGAAGGGATCCGGAAATTCCGACCACCTGGGGTTCTTTAACATGCACTCAAATCTGAGTACACAAGCCTACACCATTTCCGCCTCCATCCGAAATGCAGCCGCCACAGCCGGGATTCGATCCTACAACCTGTGGGTCAGCAGCTGAGTACCTTAGCCACTAGACCACCGTGGCGGGGCCACTGCTATCATTGTAAGTTATGCCGACCGTGTATGCTAACATTAAAGAAAAAGAAAGGCAGACCAGTAAATTATAAAATAAAGGATGTCAGCCCACCCTACCAGAAAACAGCATATGGCTCATTCATGAGACAAGGCATTCCAAACTTAGTTTCACAAGTGCTAAAGCTGGACATTCCTGAACAAAAGGCTTGTTCAAACTGCAATATCAAACACACAGAGCACTGCACTTGACTGTAGCAGAATGCTGACTGGCAACACATAGCTTACACTTTTCAGTGAGCACCACGGCTTTAAATAAGGAAGTTAGCATAAGCTCAACACTTGAATGGACAGCACAATGGCAACAGACAACTGTGGCTCTGTTGTGACATTAGCTGGAGGCAATAAATGATTAAGCAAACTTTAGCACCGCGTCATAATAGACGTGCCCGTAACCTGCCCAGAACGGTCCGTAGCATAGAATATGCCAAGACATCAATGCCAACATTAATATGGCGAGGTCTAAAATGAGAGTAAGCCCCATGGAAAGAAACAAATATTTTGGTGGTATTGATCGCCAACACATCATGTAATTTTCATACTGCTAGGCATGGCAGTTACGTACAATCAACTAGAGTTGAAAATTAGGTGCTTTATGGCTGATTGCCCTGGCTGCAAAAAAGAACTTGCATTCCTCGTGCACACTGATAGCTCGGCTTTAACTTAGTCTTCTAATTATATGCAAAGCCTGCAAGTTTCTGGTCAACATAGCAAACACCGTCCTTTGTAAAGGACGCGAAACACAAGAAGGTCAGATTCTGGGCACAGCAACCTTAATAATTATAGAGATCGAAAACCAAGTACAGAAAGGGATGGTGCCATATCTGGTGGGCTTGGCATTAAAGGGGCCCTGGAACATTTTTTGAGCATGGTCAGAAAATGCTGCCGATCGATGGTAGAGGCTCCTGACAACATGCGAGCCAAATATTATAGTGCAGCACGCAAACTGGAATTCAAAATAAATTATCAAAGTCAGCTGAAAATTGCCTTCTCTTCTTTCGACAAATTACGAAAGCCGCTCAAAAACAACTCGTGAAAAGCCCATCTATCAACCATTGGCTGATTTGAAGATGGCACACTCAGTCGTTGCAAAGATCGCCGGGAAAAGCCGCAACTTGTCTACACACGCGATCGCAGTGAAAAAGTTGGGTATTCAAAGAAAAAAAAAAACAGAACAAAAAAGTGCTCAAGGTCACGAGGCACACATGATGCTTTATTCTTTTTTTGCCCCTGCCATCCCTCCTTCTTTAGCTTCTAGCGCTTTCGTCGGGACAAGAGAGAATGCAATTGCAGCATGCGACAAATCTTTGTAACTCCACTCGCACTGGACAGATTCTTAAAATTTTTGCAGCATTGAATTCGTGAGGCAATAATCTCTTCCAGTGAATTCATTCCACGATTATTTGAAAAAGTGTTTCAGGGCCCCTTTAACGTTGCTCTTCTAGGTGGGGAGAAGAGGAGATTTTTGAGACATGCAGTTGCATTTTGCTACACAAATGACTCCACGAGTAGTTCCACACTATGCATTTGGTAGAGGTGTCAGGGCTGTTGCATCCTACTCTCCCTAATGAAGTGTTCCTACTGAAGCGCTTAATGAATTAATCTCTGCCCTCAATCAAAGTCCCACGCTCGCTCAGTCTCTCTATCACCCACCTTCTGGTCCTTAGGCTGCGGCAGCAGAGGCACGAGTGGTGGGCTTTCCTTGCAGCCAGGGATTATGTAGTCGGGTGGCGTGCAGTCGACAGACTCCCCTCGGCTCTTCTTCTCTGCAGAGGTCAAGTGGCACATCACCATCATCAGCCTAAATACGCCAACTGCAGGGCAAAGGCCTCTCTTACGTTTCATCAATCAACCCAATACTGTACTTGCTATGACGAGATTATCTCTGCAAACTTGTTTAACTTTCTGTTTTGCATACAAGAGGTCCGTGGTTTGAATCCCCAAGCCATGTAATTTCCACCGGATTACAAGAAAGTTGCGTGTGGACGGAATTGCATAAAAGAGGTCTGGGTGTGGCTTCACACTGGCCATCACCCAACAAGGATTGGGCACCATGGGGAGGTGGGTACTTGGCGCCTACATCCCATATGAGTAGCCCTAAGTGGTACAACACACAGGACAGGAGTCAAGCTGTATGATGTAGCTTTTTGCCTGGCGGACCCCCAACAATTTTGTTGGAAAACAAAAACCTTTGCGATTGTGTGACTAAAAATAGGTGATATTGTTACCCGCTAAATAACAGGAAACAATTTCGCTAATTTAGCAATGCAGCACATGCATCAAAATAGGTCTGCACATATTAATTTGATGCCTTAGTGCGAAAAATTGCTTTAGGCAAATGTCTGATTAAAAACACAAGGATAATAAAAACAGGTAACAAAACATGCCACCTTAATTGCAGAGTTAACACAAAATGGCAAGAAAATATTGATTTACAGGGCTTAATGCCACAATGGAGGCTATGAAACACATCGCAAGAAGGATCTGCCAGCTAAATTCAATCACTTTTCCTTCTTAAAATTTTGTGGTAATCTACTTATGTAAATGTATACAATTATGCCACTATCACAAGGCCGTTGCCACAACAAAGAAGAATTGAAATATGAAAAACAAAGAAACACTGCAAACAACAGGCAACAATATTGGGCTGAAGGATGAGGAGTAAATATTTTTAAGAAGAGACTTTTTCCTGATATTTCAAGGATTTCATGGTGCAAGGGCCACTAATGGCCAAAATGCATTACGAGATATGTAGTATTCAACAGTGAATTCAGAGAAAAGATTGGAAAGAATTCGCTGTATAAAGGCAACAGTCACAGTAAAGTGCCGAAGATATATAACAAATAAAATGAAAATGCACCATGAATGTAAAATTATATGTTATAATATAGCATCAGTAGATAAAAAAATTATGATGCCGCTAGCAATATCACTGCGTCGCAGCCATTAACGTAACTGACTCTCCTTCCAAGCACAGCTTCTTAACTAATTGCAATTATACTGAACAGATCTGTAAACACAGTAAAACGAATTGCGAAAGAAAATAGAATAGCTTCAAAAGAAATATGACCAGACAAAAACCCCTCCTCACCCAGTATATCCCCTTGCGTAACTACATTAAGAAAGGCCAGGGAGCTGCAGTCCAGGCCGTTGTAGGCATCACCGGAGTCGAGGGACTTGAGCAGGTCTCGCACGTGACGCACGTGGATGCGTGCTTCCCGCACCGTGTAGGGCTCTGCGCGAGGCCAAGTCACATGCCACTTCATCAAGAAATGCTAACCCTAACCACAGCACTCAACCAGAAGTACACAGTGCAGCAACACTCCCACCTCGCGATTTTTCTTTCTCTTATCTAAAGAATAAACATCACAATGCCTGGAACAGGTACTGTGCATTTACAGTTGCGCTTCCGGTGGCAGTGAAACACTGAACAGTAGGCGTGTTTCTTTTACAACATCGCCTCACTTGTTCTTATATGAATGCCCCCTGATGTGGAACATAAAATGCGCTTCAGACATGCTGCTGTAATAGCCGTTCTCTGAATGGCACGAAAATAGATAAGCCGTTTCTCGGCGCGGTTGATGGCGTTTGAAAAGATGGGAGCCGAAAGCATTTACATTTATTTTGTGAGGCGGTTGAGTAGAAAGGTTCGGAGATACCATTACAGCATAGCTTGCAAGTCAGGGTCTGTAAAACGCTGAACAGAAGCGAGAAATCGCACAGTGGGAAGACAACTGCTCAGGTTATAATTGTGGCAAAATCATCAGGAATAGCTGTGTAATGACAGTAAGGTTAGGCAGCTGCATGAAAAACCATACTGTAAGCCCCACAATATGAGTAACGTAGGGATAAGTTTAAGCGAAAACCCGCAGGAATGCAGAAATGATGCAAATACGACTCTTGTTAAGCCGAACCTTTAGGATAGAGATATCTCAGTTTAAAAGCAGTTCAGCAAAATTATCAAGCATAAGACCTATGCACTTACAACTGAGCTTGAGCAGATCAACAACTAGAACAGCTAGCTAACAAAGCAGACTGTAAACACAGTGCCCATGTACCGTATTTACCCAATTTCAAAAATCCTATGCAACAAGTTAGTAGACCCTGCAAACAGGGCCGTGGACACCGACCTTCGACCACCTTAATGAGGGATCCCTCAACGAGCCCCGGGATGTTCTTGAGCTCAGCAAAGTTGTCCAGCGTGGTGCCATCCAGCTGGAGGCTGAAGCAGGTCCGATGGCAGGTGTCCTCCCTGTCCATCAGAAGCTGGTGGATCTCCTGGACCAGCTCCATGGAGCTAACCTGCAGGAAAATGTGGGCATTGGAATTACAAAATCAAGCAGGCCCCGTTTCCACTATAAGCTGTTAAAGCGAGTACACCCAGATAAAAAAAAAATAGTCACATCCTTGGGTGCCGACATGCCCAAACGACGATAGAAGTAGAAGTTTAGAGAAGTACAAGGGGCGTAAAAGTGCAAAGCATAAAGCAAGACCAGATGTTCTTCAGCAAACTTACACAGTCTAACATTGACAGTCGTCTACATCAATAGCGTATTCATGTCTGAAAACCAAAGATCACAGCAACAAACTAAGAAGAATTTGTTTTTGCCTATGTGGCACTTGCTATGAGACATAATTGCTGTAAAAAAGGCACACACATAGCAGATAAGAAACGCAAAGCTGCCTGTGCTGTGTATGCACCTTGTTCTTTGTTCTTATCTCTGCTTCGTGCACGTCTCTCTAGGTACAATCACGTCTCAAAGTAACACTCACTTAAAAACACTATTAAAACAAAAAAGCAAGCAAGTTTTTGCAATTAAATTTGGTTCAAGAGTTTTACGAGCCTGAACCACAATACATTCACGAGCCACACCATGGTGGGGAACTTTTAGGTAAATTTCAATCAGATGTGGTTCGTTTAACAAAAACTAGAGAGAAAAACAATTTTTTTTTACTCTAAATTTTTTACATTACCCTTTCACAAAAACAAAAGCACCCCTCTTGACACAAACCACTTGGGAAGCCAGAAATTGTGTAAAAAGCAAACCTAAATAGTTATGCGACATTCATACCTATGTACCAACTTGTGATGTGAATAATTTTGACTACATCTGCTCGGGCAAACGAGACTTTTTATCAGTAAAATGATGATGATGTGTAGGGTTTAACATCCCAAAACCACAATATGATTATGAGAGACGCCGTAGTGGAGGGCTCCGTAAATTTCGACCACAACGGGTTCTTTAACTTGCACCCAAATCTGAGCACACGGGCCTACAACGTTTTCGCCTCCATCAGAAATGCAGCCGCCGCAGCCAGAATTCGATCCCGCGACCTGCGGGTCAGCAGCCGAGTACGTTAGCCACTAGATCACTGGGGCAGGGCTATCAGTAAAACGTATCTAATAGTGTACTGAGAGAGCCATAAGCTTGAAACAGCGCGTTCAAGGAAATTTCATTGAACCAATGGCCAAAGTGCAAAAAAGAAAGAGAAAGAAATCTATGACATCAGTGACAATCATAAGCACATATTACAAGCACATAATCTCCTGTTGAGTATGAAAGTGTTTTGCCCTTTTTAGGAACGTGCCCAAGCCATCCAGATGATCGAAAAATGGAAAAAGAGGAGAAGGTAGCAGCATAGTTCAAAGTTGGATAAATAAACTTGATAAGACAGATGCTTGGGCTAGTTGGTGATTGGGAATCAACATATTTGCACAATGCAAGACTACGAGTAGTTGTACCTACTCGCAGCGCTCTGTCCTTGTCTCTTCCTCTGTAGTTACGTCGTAACTACTCGTAGTCTTGTGTTGTGCAAATATGTGGATAAATAAAGAAGTGCATGCACAGCCGCCCCTCACCTGAATGTCGAATGTCTCCAAACCCGGTGCCTGAATTCGCACATTGAATCCTGTGTCCTGGATGAAGACCAGCTCCTGACCACCAGTCTCCGACGCGGTTTCTCCTGCGGCTGCATCCGGCTTGACGACAGCGCCATCTTCTTCCTCAGATGTCGAGGAACACTTGCCACTGTCCTCAGCCGAGCCAAGACTGGACGCATCCACCTCCGCTGCGGCCGTCATGGCTTCTGGCTTTGATTCTGCGCAATAGGGAGAAGACAAACAAAACAAAACAAATTGTACAACCTCGTACGGATGTTGTAGCATAGTGTGCAAGTATATTTCTATGAATATGTATGGCCTTGTTGTTGGGTGGCACATGACCACCGTGTGTGTGAATGAAGGTAACTGGATATGATGCCAACCGGTGAGTGTTGAATTTTAGTTCACTCAATGTTCAACTTGCTACTAATTATTTTTGTTATTATAGTAAAACGTGGCCTGACATCACTTGCTGTAGCTTGCCAGCAGAGCCGAGCACAATATTATCAGTATGCTAAACACATCTTAGCTCTCAAATGCACCATGTCCAGGATGTGCCCGCCATGTTGTGCTAACAAAGCAAAAATACAACCTGCTTACTGTACATTCCATTTTATAGCACAAAATATACTACACACAATTTTATATAGCATAGTTGTGCATTCCTACAGTAATAATGCTCTAAGGACAATCACATAGGCATTTCCTTTGCTTGTTTCCTCTGTTTTCATGTGTTGTTTATGCAATTTGGCATTCCTTAGTGTCCAGAATATTTACATATCTCCAACTGTTCCACTGAACAAAACAGCAGCCAACGACATGGCTATGTGGTGATTCATAGCTCGTGCGCTGCAAATCGGCACCTAACAACAATGGTGCACGTGATAAGAAAAAAAAAAGAAATCGTTTGCTCTGGTGCACTGCCTTTGCCTCTTAACTATGCATTCTTTAAGGTTCAGAGCACCCTCTGCAGGTCCAGTGAACCAAAGTTTTTTGTGCAGATGGTCAGAAACCAAGGCACTAAGAGGAGATGCCTTTGGTATAATATGCTGTCCTGTTCAAGCCATAGATATAATGTGGCAAAAGGAAATGTGGCAAGGATAGCATGCTCACAAACAAACCAAAGCAAAAATTCGAGTTGAGAGACTAAATTCTTGGTAACGAGGAGAAGCGTTTAGGTAAGAGGTAGCACATTGCTTGACAACTGCCCTCGAGTTTGCAAGACTCGTGTGAAGCTATTGCTGAGGTCATCACACAATAATATCAAAGTAAAAAAAAAGTAAAAAAGTCACCATGAGGATTTTTTTTACTTTGCTGAATTGTAAACAATTAATGAACAAGCTGTACATGATTATCCACCCTTGAAGAATCACTACTGCAAACTGGGATGTTTAGTGACACTTTATGCACTTCAAACATCACCGTGTCACTGAAAATTCATTTTTTCCAGACTCTGCACAAATGTTTTCTATTTGGAGGAAGTAAAAACTGCAGGAAAAAAAATTACGACGTGCTTGAACACAGAACATGCACAGGAAACAATCGCATAGCTTAAAACATTTCATGACGACTACATTTGCAAAACTGCTGACTTTCAAATATTTTCTATCTCTGTCCGATTCTCTGAACTGTCTCAACTACGGCCAATTAGGTGAAACTGACATCAGGATAGTAGCCACAATAATTATGAAAGCTGGAGGCACAAACAGCTAAGGAAAAAGAATCTGGAGAAATTGCAAATAAAAGCCACGGTTTCGCAAGCCATCAACCCAAATACCTTGCATGCGGTGGAAGACAACTCTGAATTGTTTTCTTTCACTGTATCGTCCATTTCGAAGAGAATTCAAGATGACCATGATAAATGCTACCCTACTTGACCTTTTTTCTTTCTTCCAACTAAAAGCAACTTATGTTTTTGCTTTGTACCAAGTCCGCAGTTGCAGTTGTGCATGTCCTGGACTACAGCCTAGACATTCACACGGTTGAGGAACAAAGACATTCACGCTCTCTGCAAACGAAAAGGTAAATTCAGACCATTATCTTAATAAATAACGTCAAAACTTTTTACCATCACTACAGAAACACAAATAGCAACAAGCCATAAACAAATTTGTTTCTAATGCCAAGTTCTGCCATTAAAAACAACAGTAAGCTTAAGCTAATGGCAACAAACTCGTATCACTGACTAATTTGCTGCAAGGTTAAGATGTGCAGAGACATTCATAAAACAGAACTGCACATCAGTAGGAAGCTAGAGTTGTCCACCAGTTGTCTATGCAAACACAAAAATGGGGCAACAATGGTGCAAGGTACTTGGAAGAAAAACCACTAATGTTTGAAAAAGAAGGAAAAAAAAATTACACAGACATTCTTTCACAAGGGCTCCTTGAATGCGCAAAATATATACCAAAGAAATGACAGTCTCACAGCCTCAATGCACTTTTCTTTTTCACATTAACATGAAAGTGGCAGCGCAAAACACGATAAAATCGAACACAGGGGGAACTTTGTTGCCAGACTAAATCCCACTTGAAGTGTATGTAATCTTGACTCCTCTTTTGTTAAAGATAATGTCGAGCAAGATTAGTACCGCAACCTGCCCAAGCTCTGTTTTACCCTCAATAGGACGCAGGCAAACAAAGCCAACATGTGAAGTCTAAGGGACCCGAAGCAAGCCACCAATGAAAGTAGATATGCAGAGTGCAAAGAGCTGTCTTATCTCCTGCCAACTTTGACATGAAGCGAAGATGAATGAACCAACTTTTCGTTTATCATACAAGACGCAAAGAAAGTGCAGTGCGCAGCTGCCGAAAGTTCACTGTCCCTTGCTTTGCTTTCTAACACAATGTATTACCAATGTGTTCCTTGTTCAAGCAGCCAGGTCTCAATCTTTACAGAGATGCCAGAGCTACTAGAGCAGCTCACCATAAGTCCATCTCACTTGACTCCCACCTTTTACCGACTGTTTCGTAGCTCATTTCCTCGCTCTAAGACTGCATTTCACAGTGTTCCATGCCGTGTTGCTTATAGACAATAGATGTCAGGGCTTTGTGTCCCGGAACCCCAATATAGTTATGAGAGACAACGGAGTGCAGAGCTTCGAAAATTCTGACCGTCTAGGGTTCATCGATGTGCACTTAAACTAAGCACACGGGCCAGCTTTTACAATTTTTTTTTTCTCAACTGAAATGCGGCTACCACTACTGGGATTCCATGCAATGGTCTTTGCATCAGCCGTGTACTAGTGTAACCACGACCCCTGCCGTGGGCGATTGCTTATAAAAACTGCTAACATTAGGAACTACCCCTAGAGAACACCAGCGAACTCTAAATCTGCACTACCAAGGTTATACATAGAGAAAACGGACATAGAATGACAGTAAGACACCCTAACTTCGGTACTCAAGAGACTCCTCACCCTTCGCCGTGTCGCTACCGCTACCACCACCTGCCAACAACTCTCCTGTGGCCATCTTCAAGAGGCAGCCCTGGCTCAAGTACACAACCCTCCTCGTCCCATCCTCTTGAGGCACAAGTAAGAACATTTCGGGAGAAGCTCTCTTGATCACAGGATTTTCACCACACCACCACCACCACCACAATTGTTGCAGCCAGCAGAGCTACAACAGACCAGCCCAACCACTGAAGGTTCACCACATACTACTCTCCGCTGGACGACGAGGCCCCTGTTTAGCAGCGCCACAGTACCAAGAGAGCGAGATAACAGGTTTAAAGGATCTGTTAAAAACAAACACCAGGGAGACTGGAGGATACACTAGACAGCCCAGCATGAAGCGGCCCGAGATAAGATACCTAGAGCTAGAGAGAATGAAAGAGAGGGAAGTGAAGAGATAGCATGCCTGTTTGCTTTGTGGTCATCTGGAGAGGTTATCACACTGATTCAGGGGGGCACACTCTTCTGCTTTCTCCATTCTCGGACGTCTGTGAGAAGGCACTGGCAATTAACGTATACCCTTTCCCATCTGCTATGGCTAGCTCGTGCCTACTGTTTGAAATAAAGAAAAAGTGTGCAATTATATGGCTTTGAGATGAGGTTCTGCCGAGCAGTCGAGTGACCCGCATGTGAATGAAATAAAGCTGTGCTTGTGCCCCTCTGCTCTTCGCAAAAAGCAATGACTGTGCTATGTTTTTAGTCTATGACAACATTCAGTGGACCAACAATAAACAAATATTTTCTCACCTACCACCCGCACCCTCACTTTTACACCACATTCCAGGGCAAGGGCTGGAAGTGTGGTGAAAGCACTTGCAAGATTTCACTATAAAAGCAAATATGAGTGCACACAACGGATATGAATGTTTCAAGATTATACCCAAGGATTTGAACATCTCTAGCACATATTGACACATGTAATTTAAGAAAAACTTGTTAGGAGAAATCCTCTCAATAAACAAAAGCTGTTCTAGATACTCACAGTCTCGTATGTCAGTGGGGCTTTTGTGTTGTTGCAGTATGATTAAAGACAATATTCACATACATACATTTACGCGTGTTGTCTCGTGACATTATTTCTTGTGTTCTCAGGTGTCCCCAGCAAGCACACCCCACCCAGCTATGGTGAAGATAATTTGAAAAGATTTGGAGGGAGGGCCCTTGTTCAGTCATAGATCAAAACTCAAAGTGGTGAAAGAACACCCACTAAGAATAAGATTTAGCTGTGTTGTACTGGCATATAAAAAATTGGCCCTGTATCTGCATGTTTCACTGCAAATGTCGTCAAGAGACGATAGTCTTGCGTGTTGAGAAAGTGAACAAAAAGTTTATTTGATGTTCTGCACGAGAAAATTGGTGAATTGTATTCTAGAAGCGTTACGTTGAAGAGTCTCGGTCCATGCAGTTAAGGTGAACGAGCGCATTGAGGCATGCTAGACACGGGCGCCATGTGGCAGTTATCTTCGAAAACGAAGGAAGGCGTGTGCGCCCACGGAGAAAGATACACGCCTGCCCCAGAGGCGATAAGGTGTAGAGCGCAAAGCGACGGGCAGGTGACACCCCCGCGTCGTCTTGGCAAAGAGTTGGAAAAACTTGCCTTTTTGAGCATCGCGTTGCACTGTCAGCACAGCGTGATAAATGCTAAGGTCTTTAGAATCACTTGTGTGTGCCTTCTCTAGTATGAAGACACACATACAAAGCATAGACGTGTTGTTATGGTGCCTCAGATATGCGCAATAATTGCTTTTTAATTGACAATCGCACAAGTATGAAAGCTGAAACTTGAGCAATATTGGTGGGCACTGCGGATGGGGTTGGCCGTTTAAGGTATCGTGTGGTGCCATTTGGGGTATAGTTAACGCGGACAAACAGACGAAAATTTCGGCATCGAAGGTCCCCACGAAAGACCATCGTCTTTAAAACAGTCAAAACGGCGGGAGTGAAAAAGGTGTGTGAAGAGGGGGGGGGGGGGGGGTGGCTTTCATGGTCACAAGCGCATATTTTAAATATGTCCGCCTCAGTGAAACAGTGGGCTAGGGTGCCCAACTGCTGACCCGAATATCGCGGTTCTGTTTCAGCTGTGGCAGTTGCATTTCGATAGAGGCGATTTGGTAGAGGCCAGTGTAATATGCGATGCCAGTGCACATTAACCAGATGGTCAAAATTTCTGGAGCTCTTCCCTACGGCATCTCTCGTAATTATCAGTTTTGGGACATAAAACTATTATTATTACTATTGTATTTCAAATACATTAGGCGGATATTAAATGGGACCTGAAGGGACAAGAAAAATGTGTTCCTTTTAACAGGAGTATTGTTCAGTGAAAGCGAGCAGGGGTATAGAATACAATACAAAATTATTATTATAAGAGATTGATCCGCTCAAGCAGCCATATCCTTCAACAGATTTGCATTTACTGAGGGTCAACTGTATCCAAGGAGTAAAATTGTGTGGAGGGCTTGCTGGGAATTTCACAGTACATAGCGTTTTGCTTAGTATCCTGTCGCGAGTGTTCGCTTAATCCAAAGAGGTTTTTAACTCACTGACTATACAACACTAAGCTTCAAGATTTAAGAAAATGTAAAAAAAAAAAGAAAAAAAATCTTTCGCTCAAATACAGTGCGCTATCACGGTAATAAAAGCACGCTTCTTAAACTAAGACTATGTTTGAGAAGCCGGAAAACGTGCAGAAAACCAAACATGTAATGCAGCCAGTTTGAGGTTGCCCCCCCCCCCCCCCCCTTCATACCAAGTTGCCACAACATCGTAGGTTATGATAGCATTTGTCAGGGCGAGCACGATTTTCTGTCAATAAAAATTTATTACACTTCTTTCCAAGTGACCCAGAGACTCCACATAGCCAGTTGCCCAGTACTTTTACTGAGAAAATGGGGCCAGAGTCCCCCGCCCCCAAAGACTTTGAAATCCTTTGCATCCCATTCGAGTGCTGAAGATTCGGAGCGAAATTCTGAAGTGAAATTTCGGGCTATATTTTCTTTTCGAAAAGGAAGTCTAAGATGAGTAATTAATGTAATTCTCAGGCAACAACTTATCTATCTAAGCTTGCATAAAGAGGCCACCACAGTGCTTGAACTGACTGATGCCAGTACGCGGAAGCTCAGACTAGCGATTTTCGATGGGCTTCTTAACTAATTCCACTGTATCATGAAAAAAAAAAAAAAAAGCCTTTTTGAAGCTACAATGAATAGAACAGTCTGCACATGCAACAGCTACCACAGATGTTTTGCCTGCACAAGCTTGCAGGAAACAGCTGCCGAGCTGCTTTGCATCCTCGGTACAAAACACATGCCTCTGGCCATAACACTAAACCCCCGACGCTTTATGCATCTTGTATGGGCTCGACTATTCGAGAATAAATGTAGGCAGCTCACCCCTTGCTACAGCTTAGGAACACGTTTTGCGCTTGTGAATGATATCTGATTTTTCAATGTACATTTCTGCGTCGACTGAGGATTGCAGTTCCCACCCAAAAAGAGCTCTTGTTTCTGTCTCGTTATACCTTCCTCTTGCTAATAGTTTTGTCTTTAGTAATTGGTAATAGAGCAAAGAGCAGGCACTTCTAGCCCACAGGCTACTCAATTGTTCTGACTAGCCTACACATATACCATTCATGAAGTATTCAGTTCCCCGAGTCACAAAAGCCAGCTGCAAAAGAAGGATCAGTGGCTGAAGATGCTCTGTTTTGTAAATATTATTGAGTTATGCAAGTGCTATTGAGCAAAACTTTACTTTGTCCCTACCAATGTCTTATGACAGTTTTGAGAGGAACACACCAGGCCAACACAACAGTAGCTCTGTGTCAATCCAGTCAACCAATGCAAGTCTACAAAGATCTCTAGCAAACTGGAGTTTTGCGGTAACATGTTTATGGACTTTGTAACAGACAGCAACTCAATGGCATGGTAAAGTTTTTTAGCAAAGTACAAAAAGCTACAAGTAGTAGTTTTCAGGCGTTTTTTGAGTGTGTAATTAAAACAAAAAGATTAAGTCTTTGAAGACCAAATGAGCAATCATCATTCCAGGGTCACTAATAGCACATGTTTGATAAAGCTGCAAACTTGAAACACCAACTGCATTTGCGCTTTTGAAGAACCACTGAAACTTGCACTACATATGCAGGACAGGAAGTGCTCACTTATTCTCTCGCATTGCAGTGATGTCCAAAATACCATGCCCCCCCCCCCCCCCCCAAAGAAAAAAAAGAATGGGGTCCCTTTGCTAGTACTTTCACAATATATCCAGTGTTCAGCATTACTCCGCCAATGCGCAACTCTAGCTGAGGGGAAGGAGTAGTGATCGAATGTTGTCAAGTTCGTTTTTATATGACACTCAGACAATTTTAACTTCCAAATCAGCGCACATGGATCAAAACTTTAACAAGAGAATCGGAAGTGTTATTCCAGCACCATAACAGTGCCAAATAGAATGTTAAAAGTCCAATAATGATAATATCTGGGGTTTTACTTATGAGAACCACGATACGATTGACAGGTTCCATTGTGGAGGGCTACGGAAATTTTGACCATCTGGTGTTCCAACCTGCACTGACATCGCAAAGTACATGGACATCTGCCATTTTGCGTGTATCAAAATGCGACCGCCCTGGTTGGGTGAAATTGTCCCGTGTCGCACATCGCACACAAGCAAAACAGGTTAAATAATTTTAATTCTGGCGGTTTTTTACTCACTGAAACCTCGATATAATTATGAGGTGTGCCGTAGTGGGAAAATCCAAATGAATTCTGACCAACTGGGATTCTTTCACGTGCACCAAAATCGTACCACACAGCTGCACTCTTAGACACCGTCCCCGTTAAAGTGCGACAACTGTGTTGGGAACCGAGGACGCATCCTTAAACTCAGAGGTGCAACACCAAGTCAGAGTATGGCAGGTGATCAAAATCAATACATACCTGCCCCCTACAGAGTGCCTCATAATTAGACTGTGGTTCTGGCACATAAAATATGGAATCAACCTAGAAAAATTCAAGGTGACAAAAAAATGCTGCTGTGTTAACCTAAGTGGAAAGCAAATGATCAAATAAATGTGCATAATGAGTACGGCATCTTTCAGGAGGGTATAGTAGGGTAAATGAAATATGTCAGTTTTTACGTAATACTTTAGAAACTGCCGCAAGTATGCACATAAAATTTCATGTGCTACCAAAGAATGCCACTG